GTGCTAAATTTCGGGCGCTCTGCACTGTTTCTCGCACTGATAAATCATTGCTGTCGGCAATTGATGCCTGCCACCCCACGTTTTCTTTTGAAGCACATGGTCTAGAATACGTCTATGTCGCCGCTTCGACGAGCTTGTTTGCTTTGTTGCGGCCTGACGTTGTCGTTTCTCAACACGGAGCCAGTTAATAGTGACTTCTACATCCTAACATTTTGTAAAGTTGCTTTTAACCTTTCAGTGACTGACTGATCTTTTGCATGGTTCTTGCAGTGCAAGCAGTACGACATGATAATGCGTTTAGAACAGTAAAGCGAGTTCGGAGAACTCAGTTTAAGCACAATGCCTAATCTGCCTAATCCTTTCTTAATATGGTGCCTCATTTCATTTGTGTTACGCAGATTAGACAATTGCCTAATTTGGAAAGGCCTAGTAGCGAATGTCATCGATGCAGCCTTTTCTGATGTCGCCTAAGATTACAATCGTACAATAAATGCGTATTTCTTATAATTCCTGCATAAAATCGACCCTGTTTGAGCTGTTGCCCTCTCCTTTCCTGTACATGTAAAATAGATAAATGCAACGGTCGTCAGCAGACACCTCACGAAGCAACCATATAGATGCACAAACAATTTTGAGATACTTGACGATTTGTTTACAGCTGGATCGCAAGACTTTGACTATCGTATCTCAGTCTACCTAACATGCAGGTAAAGTTTGTGTTCTGATGTAGGATGACTGTAAAAGTGTCATTTCAGAAATGTAGAATAATGCAAACTTTGAAACCTTTGACCGGACAATGTGTCTAGTACTGTCAATTTGATACGATTATACATTGCTTGAAAAATCTACAGCATTTGTCGCTGGTCATTGCCCGTGCCGTTTGAATTCAAATATTATTACACAACCGATTGATTGGCTTCCGCATGAAGGCTAACAAGTTCGATCATTAATGATGCTTATGTCAATTGCTTGACAAAGTTAGCATAATATCTCGTCATTGAACGTTCATATTTCGTTATTTTTGTGCGTCGTGTATATACAATAGTGGAATCATGAATGATGATTTTCATCTGAGAGAGAAGCGGGCTACATTCTTTTTTTGAATCGTGTGAGTATATATTAGATAGAAATGGTGCTTACATTCAGGTTTTTTTGCGACTACTTGTTCACTCGCATAAGCAAAGGCATCACAGTGCTTGACAAATTTCTAGCTATGATTGCGCGCTAGTGGGGCGTGGGCCATCGTACCACGCATCGGGTGTATGCTTTATCCAGTATATTATACCACACAGACTCGGCTGTACTCTGACACATGCATACCCTTACATCAAAAATACTTGGTCTATTGTAGGTGTTCACGCTCCCTCTGGTCATTCTACCTGAGAGGCTATACGACCAGTACGATATTTCCTAGGTATCACCTATAGTGTACCACGTATATGACATGTGATAAAGTCTCTGATTTTCCCATGGAGGAAAACGTTCGGCACTTGCTGGAGTGAAACAATTAATGTTTCCTCGTACCACCAGCAAAGCCTCCATTTCGTGCATATTATATTGATTAAAGAATGTATTATTCTTGTACATATATTTGTGCACTCGCGACTTTGCTAGCACAAGCTCGTATGAACTTGCTTTATATAATATCGAACAAACAACCTTATCGGCTAGGCGAGCACGTAAACTCGCTCAATATTAAGTCTCAACTCGACATTCTCACAATGCGTGTTAGCGCATATTTAAGAAACCAATGTTGTTCGAGATCGAAACTTTACCTGACTGTGACAAATAATTTTAATGGACTAATCATATTGAGCTACATAAATGTGTGCGACATCGCTCAACCCACAAATAACTTCCGACTTTCGGACTGTCTTCAAGCGCAAAGTACGCCAAAATTTATAGTATCAATCCTAAATTATCAGCGTTGGCTCACGCGTAAATTACCTTAAGGTCATCGAAACTTGGTACGTGTATTGTCCTTTCTTGTAATTTTTAGTTCTAGTACATCTATATCAATACGCATTTGAAGAATGATGATTCTGCCAGCATCATTTCACCTATTTACGCTCGCTTTAGTTAATCAATTAATCGACGTCACCTAATACCGAGTAGAAATTAATTTTCGAACCCGAATATGAAAGAAGACGCAGCACGTAAGTACACATATGATTGAACTCTACCTCAGAGCGACTTTAACCAGTCTAATTCACCTTTACGGTTATTTATGAGTATTAGATTCCATAAGGTTTTCATGCTTACTGTTATAAAGCATTACTTTGACTAGATTCTAGAATCCCTCCATCATTGCATATACCATGCACAACTATTCCTATCTGTAAAGGCTTACAGGTAGGACATTTGTTGCCCCTATCAAATCTACGTAGAAAATAATACTGAGCTAGTATGCCACGTTTGTCTTCATTTCCACATGAAGGGAATGTCTAGGCTATGCAGTCTCCCTCCACATTCGGTCCATACAATTTGAGCAAAGCGTAGACGGTTTTAGCTCGTTGCCGCTTCCCTCATCATACCACCTCTGTAACGAGGCTTAGACGTTTGTGCTGACGCACCACGAGCTGCCTTCACTGGCCACAGTGTGGGCAGGTGCCTTGAACCCCCACGTACACTGTGCGTGCAGAGCAAGGTGAGTCGGCTAAACGAACACGCCTGGTATAAAGAAGAGCATAACTGCATATCATGTATAGAGTAAAAGTCTCATGCAATGTACCTCTTCTTTCTTCTTACTATGTAGCAACTATACTCTCGATAATCGATGCTGCTGCCAGCTCACCACACATTGCAGGCGTCTAATAGCGATTGTTGGTTTAGTTGGCTGACATAATGGCCTCTATTGACCAACGAGCAAAGCAGTGCCGTATATATTACCGTCTGACGGTAAGGTTCGTTCGACATTTACGAAGCAAAGTAAATTGTGGAGATATTATGAGGAGAGATACTGTTTCGATCAACCCATTCTTGGCGTCAATGACATGTAACAGGCTCTCTCCGTTACACATGCGATTGAACTGCCAACTCTAACGAAGCAAAATGGATGCAGTACTCATGCGATTCGCTCATTCTCGAGTACGCCAATCCCGGTAGCACACCATACCATGCCGCAGATCCTGAACAATCAACTGACGCCGTCTGTGTTCGTCCATTCGCTAACGCTGTAGAAGACGGCAGCGACGAGATGTGCTCACCAAAGCTACTGCTTGGTTTCGGACTTTGCAGATAGGCTGCACAAACTTATACACTCACAAAAAGGTGGCTTGACAGTGACATGAGATCGCTTAGCTTCGACCTGCATCTTGCAGGGAAAGTGCTGCAAATTGTTGTCACTAGCCTCACAAGCTGATGATACAATATTACGGCGGTTGACGCGTGCAAGGAAGACGACGTTGACTACGAGTATCATGGCAAGTACTCAACGACTATTCTCCTCATGATTGCGCTGCAAACAAGTAGCCTGTCTCATGACAATGAGCACAGCAGTGACCGCTCGAAGAGCTGGCAACATACTGAGGTTGTACTCATAGAGTTAAAGCCTACATATAAGGCAGCTCCATCGACAAGAATACTCGCGTGGCTGTAGTCCTAGAGTATCATGAAGGTGAACGGCCAATGCTACAAAGAATGCGACACGATACATGCCGGTGAAGACACATCTTGTCGCACCAAAGCATGCAAAGATGGATACTTAGTCACATCGATCGCAGCTAGTTTCTCTTTGCATCTACTTACAATCATGGGCACGAGGGACGCAACATAAATCGAGGATAGAGCGATTTTTCTTCGTCTCCAGAAAGTTTGCACGCATGAAGCGACTCATTCTCTTGGAGAAGCCTCAGTGCCTTGGATGTGGCGCGTGGTTGGACCAATCATACTGGAAGCGTATGTGCACGCCATGAGCAAAACCCCTCGTTCTTTGAGCCAAACACTTGTACAGGAGCAAACAGTCTTAGCGACCGTATCAGGACGTGAACTAGTATGTTTGCGCATCAATCAGAGTGTGACGAGATCCATGCCCACCTCTTGTGTCATCTCGAAGACCATGCTGTGCAGGCATGACCGCGATCTGATCGCTGTCAAGTACAGCTGTGATGACACTTGCATTGACAGCTCACACTCGAAGGAGTCGGTGATCAAAGAAAGTTCACGAACAAATGGCCTATGATCGACCCATTTTTTGCGTGATTCGTGGGCAGATCCACGCCGCAGTGAGCTTGTGCTTGTCCCAACACCACAAGGAGCTACGCGGGCTACACTCCATTGGTACACACAGCTAGCGCCCACTTGGTTGCGAGTATACGCGAACGAAAGTGGCGTGCGTAAGCGTATCAGGAACTTTGGTAAACAAGTCAGCAGTCAGTATCTGAGCTGCGTTCCTTATGTCAACGAGTCTGACCAGACGCGCTGTTTCTTGCCGTCTTGCCGACGGTGCACCAATCGGTTTCTCCTTTTACAATCGCCATGTGTATCAGTGTTGACTCTTATGTACAGTCAGCAAACGAGCATTACGTACGACTTCATGCATTCGTATTGACGTGCGTAACAATGTCACATGAGATGGGTAATCTGCTGGGCATTGCCTATCTCCGCAGACAGAAGACGGGCAATAGTCCACGCAGCTATGACTAATCCACTGTTGTTCCTTGTGCGTACGACATCGAGTCACACTCGTGACGCGTTTGTTTGTCAATGTTTCCATGACACCCGATCAGTGTGGCAGGTCCTGTGAACTGTTGCTGTGAATGCGTCCATGACACACGACGTGGTCCAACACGGTGGTGCCAACACTTTGATATGACACGGCCGCCTACGTAGCGAACAAAGACCAAACATAGGATCAAATCCACACATAGAGTGCAAGTATGTTGCCGTATCGCAACGACTGGCTCCAAGACAAATGAGCTGGTGTACGTCTGCTCATTTCTGCCGTATTTTACTCGGTCATCGTCATCACATCAAGTGAGCGATGCTGCAACTTCGAACCATCAACGCCGTCGTTGTTGCTTGGGACTCCGAAGACGCCCCGAGTTCGAACCGCCACCACCGGGTTCACCACCCCCTGATCGCTTCACTCCTGCCATAGCGCCAGCGTTTGTGGCTGCAGCGCCACCTGAACGCCCCGATCCTCGATCTCTCCAGCCAGATCCACCGCGACCTGGCGCATTCCCTCCTGCAAACGCTCCTCTGTTTCGCGTACCGGCATCTCCCGCATGGTTGCGATCGTTGCGCCGCTGGGAATGTTGCTGACCATCTCGTGAGCCATGGTGGCTGCGACTTCGCGAGTGAGCGTCGCGCCCGCGATGGTCATTGTGATGCTGTGAAGAGTGGCTGCCAGGACCGTCTCGATGAGGACTGCATGCACCGCTTTCCGACTGTCTAGCCTCTGCTCCCACTGTGCCCTCCTTCTTGTTCTTCCACGGAAAAATGTCATCGCTCACGGGCTCCACAGTTTGCGTGCGAAAAGAAATGGGCTCCTTGCCAGGCTCGTCGAATGCCCAATCTCGCGGCTCCGGCTCCTTGTCGAAGCCAAGTACGACAGGCACCGGTTACTTCCACAGCAAAACAAACCATTGCGAAACAAACTACAAGGCGTACAATGTCAGTAAAGTACTCGTGTTCAAGCGCTTCTTTTGCTGTAATGCGTGTTTCAGGGTCTGCAGGTACCACCACACACACAACACAAACAAGTCAGTGAGCAGGCAACAGCTTCCATCCGCCACACACACACACACACACGACAGCCATCACCATATTCCAACAGTCTCGAGAGCAAATCCAGCAAAGCTGCTCCAGCCCGGCCTGGCCCAACCTTGACTGCGTTTTTCAGCTCCGACTGTGTCGGGTACTTGCGCTCGCGTCCCATCTGCACTACGTGATGATACTCTGGCAGATTCTCGAGCCCTTCCCACGCCTGTGGCGTTGGCATACCCAAGACCTTGAATATCTTATCCAGCTGATCTTTCTGGAACGGTGCATTCGACCCTTCCACTTCTTTCCCACAAAACAGCTCGCGCGTGTTGATGAGCTCAACGAAAATACAGCCGACCGCCCAGAGGTCCACTGCTTTTGTATAGTGTTTGGCGCCAAGCAACAACTCGGGGGCGCGGTACCAGAGTGTCACGACCACCCGCTCGACGTCCGACAAAGCCTTGATCGGTTCCTTGTATATCCGTGCGAGCCCCAAATCTACCGCACAACATCCAACAACGCAGCCAAAGCACCCAATCAGCATTAACGCCAACAACCACACTCCCGCAACAGGACCCCGCCACGCACTCCACCCCCACCCACCCACCCCCACGCCACTCGGCCAGCACACGACCAATGCACCCCCTCACCTGCCAACTTGACTTGTCCCCGTTTGCGTCCGTGCCCCACCACGAGGATGTTCTGCGGCTTCATGTCCCGGTGCATGACCCACGCGTCGTGCATATAGTCGACGCCCTTGAGGATCTGAAACATGAGCGACTTGCGCGTGTACTCGCCCAGCGGCTTCTGCTTACTCTGCACGATAATGTCGTGCAGGTCGTGGTCCCCGTACTCGAACACGAGCGCCAGCGACTTGTCCCGCGCGTCCACGTGCACGTCGTGCAGGTGCACGACATTGTCGTGGTGCAGCTCCCGCAGCAGTTTGATCTCGCGCACCGTCGCGCTGGAGAGCACCACGTCGTTCTTGCCCTCTTTGTGCGACTTGACGAGTTTGATGGCAAACGTCAGGCGCTCGTCCGGGGCGTCGGTGGCACTCGAGAGAGGGACAGCCGCGGCCGAGAGTGACGACGACGCGGCCGACTGGGACGCGGCACCGGCAGAGGGCACGGCCACTGCGGCCGCCCGCGGGTGCACAGCGCTCGCAGACGCCTCTGCTTTGAACACCATACCGTACGTGCCTTCGCCGATCTTCCCGAGCAGACGGTACTTGTCGGTCAGCGTCTCGGGCCGACGCAGCGCCGCGCGCCGCATGTTCGAGTGGCGAGCGCGTGACGCACGCGGCTCAGACGTCCTCGGGGCGAGCGAACCTGTGAAAGGGAATATTTCTGTTCGTTCACCCACTTGTTGTTTTGTTCGTGGAGCCAAAGCACCCACGGGGTCTGTTCCCCCTCCAAGCGACGTCTCGTGTTTTGTTGATACCGGTTCGGAACGGTATTGCAACGCACGGGCAAAAAGGTCGGCGTGATGTTGTTCCAAGACAGACGGACGTCCACTGCGTGGAAGTAGCCGGATCGAGTTGGGTTGAGCGACATTCGAACGACATTGTCTTTGTTCGTCATGAAGTACCTGGAAGAACCGCAGCTGTCGTGGCTCAATGCGGTGCTCGGCAGCTACAGCGTGGGCGACCGCGTGCTCACGGGCAAACTCGAGACGTACTCGTGCAAGAAGGCGGGCAGCGACAAGCGATTGGCCAAGCAGCTGGAGCGCTCGTACCAGCAAGAGATGGAGCTCTCGTGCAGCGAGGCACGACCGCTGCCTTTGTCGTCGTCGTCGTCGTTGGGTCCACTTGCAGCTGCCGCCACTCGCAAACTGCTTATAACTCTCATTTCGACTATGAACGCGAGTTTTCCCGATTACGACTTCAGTGGTGTGCGTCCGGATCAGTTCTGCAAGGTAATCGACTTCCGCAGTGCCCTCCAGCGCATCAATCACGACTTGGCCGAGCTGCTGGACGCAGAAGGCGATGGGTTTGTGGAGAAGATGTGGGAGAGCGTGGCCGAAGTGATCAAGCTCGACGACTGCGACGTGTACAGCTACATCCCTGACATGGACTCGGACCCGTTCTCGGACGGCCACTTGTACGGATGGCTCTGTATTCTGCTGGGCTGGCGACTGAGTTTGCAACGCCGTGTTGGATAGCACGTGGGGACTCACCAAGTGCGTTGTTGTGTCTTTTTTCATGTGGGGCTGGTACTCAGGTGGTCGTTCAACTACTTTTTCTACAACAAGGTGCAAAAGAAGGTGCTGTACTTTACGTGCATCTGTAAAGGGTGAGTCGATCACGTTTACGAGACGTGTTTGCACTGTGGTCGAGAAGAACACGGTCGAGTCGTGGACTGATGGTGACGTTTTGACACCAGATCGACCTATGACACGGCTACGGACGACGAGGTGATGGAAGAGTCGGTTGCGATGGAGGACGACGGCGAAGATGATATGGAAGATTACTTTGGCATGTCGCCAGACTGGTACGACGCGGTTGAAGGCATCAAGATCTGTGCAGTGGTCTTGTGGATAGTCACGACGTTGTGGTCGTGTGGATGGACAGGGAGGACGGGTTGTAGTCAGTGGGCACGTATGCTCTGGATGCCACGACGAAAAATGGATCGACGGCCTTGGTGTCCGTCACTTCTCGCACTGCAGTGTGTCGTTTCGGCGAAGACGAAGGTCACGAGGTCCCGTGTGTTTTGCTCGCGAACGACGACGTGCGTGCGTGTGTTCTCGCTTTCCTGTTCACCACGTTTTTGAAGTCACGAATGCTTTCTTGGTCACTAGGTTTTTGAAGTCACAAATGCGGCCACGTTTCCCACAGATGTCGGACAAGCAGCTGCGCGGCTGTCGTACTCGATAGACGCAGCTGCTCCGCCTTGTCACTCTGCTGTATAATTGGTTAATGTATGCTTTTTTCTGCGCTGCGTAGTTGTGGAGTACGTTGCGTTTGTTGCGCGCGGGCAAAAAGGCCGCATGGCACAAGGGATTCAAGGGCCAGCAATTTAGCAGGAGCTCGTTATTCCACTGTCTCTTCACAAGCTGTTCATGACATGTTTATGCAATGCGGACGTCGCAATTCGGAACCTGGGAGTTGACGCAAATGTTTTGTACGATGCTTGCTGTGCGCGGTCCATGGCAAATGGCACAGGAGTGTTGCGCCACCGTGGGTCGAACTGCCGAAAGCTGCAGTCTTCTTGTCCGAACGGTGTCATGAGCTGTGGGCAGTGAGTAACAAGTGGGATACTAGGCTGGAGCATCGGGGTATTGTGTCCAATCTTGAGATGCAGCAACGCGGCTTTTCGTCGCTGAAGATGCGGTTGAGCCTGCTGCGGCGTGAGAACTCGCTGCAAAAAAGAGTTTGGCGATTCGGAGTCCTTCAGAATTGGCAGTCCATGCCGCTGCTGCGATGACAGCGATGCGTTGTGAGCACAAAAGTCGAAATCAACAAGACAAACATGTGGGCTTTGGCGGCATCAGAAAACCCCACTGCTGGTCGCGGTCGTGGTCTTTTATCTCGCATACTTGCCGCTGTCGAGGCTCTACGATGGTCACATACTCGCGTCAGCACGTCATCCGGCAACCAGAGCTGCTAGTCACGCAGAAATGCACGACGCAGCTGCTATCGAGCAACTCACTTAGCAATGTGGCAAGCTCTATGACGTCGTTGTAGAATTTCTGGGCTGCGAGAATGGGAAGTGTGTGGGGAAGACACGATAGCGCTGAAGTTCTCTAGCATCCTGTTGCCACATACAAGCGTGACCATGACATACTTTGTCAAAGCTATGACAAGTGCAGAAGCGGTTGGCTGCTAGCAAATCGCCGAAATGCGTCCATAGCTTCGCTCGACAGGTCATACACGCTGTCTAGCAGTTTTGACTCGGCTCTCCGTTAACATGATCGGGAAAGTGACGCTTAGCTGTGGCAATGGCACATAGACCTTGACGCATGACCTCGAATATTTTACGCGTGGCCTGCACCTCTCTGCAGCCCGAAGATCGAAACAGACCAACAACTGTACACAGTCATGCGTCGGAACGTATCTGTCTAAGCCTACATGTATGTGTACATGCGTTTGCTCGCCATCTTGCGAAAGCACGAAAATATCTAGTCCTACGTACACAAAAGGAACCGACCAGTTGCCGGTGCATCTTGAGTTAGGACGTCTGAACAAGCTCCTATCGCACATGCCTGGTGGAGTAGCCGAGCTAATAGATGGGCGCCAATACACGCTTCTCCCATTCGTACTTGGAGCTAACACAACCGGTTGAAGTGATCATGACGTGCATATTGATGCAGAAGAAGTTACGCCCAAGCTATTGGCGTGCCCGAAATGCAGTACGAGGTTCCGAGATGCGTAGGAAAGGTACAAGCCTGTCTCTTGAATCGCTGTCATGCTGTCGCAGCGGTTGTATGTTCAGTGGACGCATTCGACTGCTCGCTTCGTCGCGAAGGCGATCAGAAGCTTTAGCACTCTAGACGATTGTGACATTCGCTCATGTTTATGGTACGACGTCAGTACCTCCTTCAAATTTTTCCGCGATAAAGATACTTACCTGCCACGAGCGTAGAAAAGGCGGCCACCATACAAAGATTAGGTCTGCTGTTCTTTGATCTCCTTTCTTGTGCTGCAAACGGATCCTGATCCATCCTAAACGAGCAGGTGGGGCTACCTCAAATTGACTAGTATTTGACCGCACACGCAGCTGCAATGGATAGCACGTCTACACACGCAAGTCTCATCTTTCTACTCCGGAAAGTCTGTTGTAGCCACTGTAAGCCCCATGTCGAGTGCAGGGCTCAAACTGCAAGCCGGGCGGCAGTCGCACTGAGTATTTACAAAGCTACTACTTCGTGTCATTTCCACATTCTCCCTCGGGAAGTCAAAGCCCAAGTCCGATCCTCGTACAATGCGTCTCTTCAATGCGGCGCTGCTTCCTGCAGCCATCGTCTTGGTGTCACACTTGGAACTGCTGCAAGCCCGTGCGCTCGATGGGAACGAGGTGGATACACTTGTCGGTAGGCTTCTCCGATCTGACACTGCAGAGGCTACTGGTGACATGGACAGAGTTGCCAGTACACTAGTGTCTCATGTTGAGCACCTCGCCATGGAAGCGTTTCCGGCAGAAACGGCTTCCCTGGCAGCCAAGAAGGCGTCTGGGGCGGCCAAGAAAAAGTATCGGTCAAATAAGGAGGCTGGCAATCGGGCTGATACGATAGCTCAATTCGAAGCACAGTTTGGCGAAGCGGGAAAGGCAGTGGTGGCCGAGTGGCGAGGCTTTTGGGACAAGATATCAAAGAATTACAACGTCGTAAAAGCCGACGACTTCTTAACCAACGAAAAAGCCTACAAATTCCTGGTCGAGACTACCAAAACGTCAAACCAGAAGCTGGGCGTACCTAAGCGCAACGACGCGATCAAATTCCTCGAGTTTCAGTTCGGGGAGGAGAAGGTGAAAAACGCCATCAAAGAAGCCGTTGACCGTCTTCGGGCTGAGGCCAAAATCAGAGGTACGCGCGTCGAAAAAGTCCCGGGGTACGACCATGTCTCGAGCGTTTGGCGCGATTACGACATCGAAACGCGCTTTCTTAGCGATCGCTAAGCGCCGAACATGCAGAAAGCTTGTTTGCTGCGGTGGATCCGCATCAAAAGAGGGTAATTGTCGTTTAGCTTCGCCATTTTCTCACCACGCATCTCTGCCCTACAATACAAAACACGCACTTTGGCGACGTGCACCTTGTGGTTATTCGCTTTACCTTTTCATTACATCGCGACCCAAACCTTTTGTTGAGACCAGCGTTTCGTATTTATCTTCATCACCAACTGTTCGCACGAACGCTCCGTCGTCACATGTAATGCGTATCGTTCGTACCAACGTTTCGGCATTTGTGTTTGCGCTCTTTTCACTTATCCTACATTAGTGTCGCATCAATAGCCACGACAAACAGTCTTGCATCACGACCCCAGCTTACCCACGCTCTCTCGAACGAGTATAGGCAACAATTGGTGCCTATGCACGAATGTATGGAGGAACTCAAGAACGAAGATGGAAATGAGGTGATACTCGGTGAGCCCGTTACGCGATATTGGCATTGATGTATTTGTCAATGTGAGACCATCTTATTAGATCTTATATTACACAATGTACCGTTACATGCCCATATATGAGCAGCACTGTTAGGGACAATAAATAAAATGCGCCAAATAACCACGAAAATAAAAATGCACCACAAGATGAAAAAAAGAAAAGCAATACACCAACTACTAAAAGAAAAAAACAAGCACCAGCGACGGAGACTTTACCGTTGACAACAGACAAACGCTTTGGATCACATATAAAAGTATAGTATTGATCTCGTTGCTTGTGTTCCTACGAATGCAGCCGCAAATAGAGAGCGATTGAGTATTTCAGTGGTTACGTCGTGTCAGGTTGCGCTCGTGCTCGTTCACACAAAGACATTCACCACTGTTTTGCTTTGGTTTGCGTCATGACAGTTGGCGAGTCGCAAGTATACACAAACACTCCAAGACGCGAGCGTCAATATCGTATGCCAGCGGTCAAATCGCACGCACCGCATGATTAAAAGCTCGAGCTTTTTCAACGAGCGTGACAGTTGCTCTTCCGACCGCCGACTCGCTTGTCCAGTCAAACAGACACTCTAAAGGCCCGACGGTACGCGTCAAAAGGGACCGTTTGCGAGTCAACCAGCCAATTCGTTCGTTACTTCGTTACTGTAGTCAGTTGATAAATTAATTCGTTAAACAGTCACTCAGTCATTCAGCTAAATCGCATCCCAAATGGAATAGCAGAAACAAAAAGGATCGGAACGAGGTCTCAGGTGATTTTGTTTGGTACGACCGCAACGTCTCACGCGACTCACGAATATCTCAATTGGTTTCCCTACGACTTCCTCGAGCACCACATCGGAGGGGACCCCACACACGCCCCCACCCCCCCCCCCCGACCTGCTGATCGATTTCAATGGACCGCACCTCCCACGACGGCGTCGCTTCGTTCTCACTCTCTGCGTCGCCCGTGCGCACGTCCGTTCATTTTGACTCAATGTCCATCGATGTAATGGAAACACCTTCGGAGGAGGCAGTGCACCCGACGCGTCCCCCTCCTCCCCCGCTCTCGCCCTCCCACTCATCTTGCGCCGAATTGGAGCCCGAGGCCTCTGCTTTCGCTCTGATGCTGCGGGACGACACACCCGGTCGTCTTTCGGAGCACCTGACCTCGGGCGACGTCCATCCGCCCGCTTCGCCGACGTCGGCCGTCGTGCCGTTCCAGAAGCTCCAGTTGAATACGAATTTGCACGACACGATGCTGCCCGCTCGCGTTCGAGACAGAGCGCCTCGCTCTCGCACGAGCTCGAGTGGGTCCTATGCCGGGTCCCTGAGCTCGGGGTCCGAGAGTCCTCGACAAAGGAGAGACGCGGCGTTCTCCGCGACCCAGCAGCTCGCGTCGGAGCTGCTGGGGATACAGAATGAGACAATGGCTACGACAACCACCAGCACAACGTCAACGACAGCGTCGACGTCGACGCTGTCGCAAGAGCTCATGAATGTGCTCTTGCGACTTGGCGACCTGACGCAGCACGAGGGAGACAAAGAAGAGCCGCAGCTGTCGGTGCGATTACGCGAAGGTCAAGTCGAGCTGCTGGCCGCCCCCACCGACGAAGAGCACGTGGACTTTCTCGGCCCTGCTGAGAATATCAAAAAGCTGTTTAAACTGCCGTACTCGCAGTCCCGCGTGTCGTTGGCAGTCCATCGCGTGGGGACGACGCTCGTCGTGGATGGCGAGCTCGAGGACACGGACGTGCCGGTGGGTCTGTTTGAAGACGGACCGCAGGATACGCTGCGATGGGTACAGCACTCGGACGACTCGACGCAGCGGCTGTTGTATGAGAAGTTCATCTACGAGAGTACAGTGAACGCGTCGCTGCCAGTGTCTGAGACCACGGAGGCAGTGCATACCATGGCGACAGACGAGCAGAAGCCGCGGCAAAGTACGCAGCACCGAGCAGCAAAACAACAGGCCACGAAGCTGAAAAAGACAAAGAAGAACAAGCGAAAGACGGCGGCTTTACACGCAGTAGGACATAAATCTCGAATTTCAAGAGCGAGTCAAGAGCTTCGTCTGGTCTCTGCCGTGCAGGAAAAAGAGGGACGGAAAAGCGACGAGTGCGTGCCATCGGCTGGCCATGAGTCGTCCAACGAAACGTGCAATGAAGTCCATACAGATGGTCATCTGCAGCACGGAACTACATCGACAGCTCCTTCAAGCCAACAAGAATCGCGTCCTTCTTTTATCTGGACAGGATCAAACTCTCATGCGTCGGCAGAGCAGTATTCGCCGCTGCATACAGACTCGCAGATGTTCCAGAGGATCTTGAAGTGGAAATTCAACGATCTCAAGATGGTACGCGTCTGTGTTGAGCCTAAATAATCGATTGTGTCTGAACTGATCACCTGACTGCATTGGTAGATTCTCGGCAGTCAAGTTCTGCTGTTCAGCAATCCAGAACACCCTGCCGTTTCTCTCAAACTGCACGATATGGACAAAGAACTATCGCTCTGCACCGTGCTGGACTATTACTTGGACAACGTCATTGCAAACATTCCGGAGCTGGCAGTATGCATGCACTCCAAGGGACTCGTTCGCGGCTACAAGCTCGTTGAAACGCGGCAGATTCCGTACATGTCAAGCACAGGGCGGCCCTTGTTTAATGTCCACGATGTAAGCATGAACGCATCGATGCTGCTTAAGTTTCTGCAGGAGAATTGCTCGAGACCCAATGGCACGTATTGGCTGCATCGAAAAGAGGGTGAATCTTCGTTACGGCTCTATGATGTCGACGTGCTCTCACAAGGAAGTCAGCTCAAGTGGAAGTACATGATGGCAATGCTGTGCTATCGCTTTGCCGCTCGAGCGTCAAGACTTTCGAGCTCATTAGCAGCAGGAACACCGCAGCTACAACAACAGCTCCAGCAGCGCGAGCGAGATCTGCTGTGCACGTGCATGCGTTTGTTGGGCGAGATTGCTCAAAAAGGTGGAGCAGCTCACGGCCCTATTTGCTCATCGGTTAGTGAACAGCTTGCTGATACGTATCTTCGGGAGTGCAATCAAACGCACGCGTTCAGCTCAACGGAGTCGACATCAGTAGGCTCCGATCGAGAGGCAGCCGTCAGACTACTAGAGAAGGCGAAACAGTACTTGCTTGCCAGCATCAAGTTGTTTGAAGAATGCAGTCCGAAAGATGGTGGTCCTGCTCTGACACACACCGACGATGAAGTCGACGCGGCCGCTGCGGTAGAAGGCAATGGAGAATTGACACCTGAAGACGCAGACGAGAACGATGAGATGGGCAACTTCATGGATGAAGAATTGAATCGGCTGCAGCTCAAGTTTAGCTCTGCGTGCCTCGAGCTCGGGCGCCTGTACGCTCGCGACCACAAGTGGACCGACGTGGGGAAATGCATGGTTGAAGCAGGTCAGTTTCTCACGCTAAGCTCAATCCCTGATGACGTGCAGCCTCTTGATTTGTCTTCACGAGAGCAGGACGCTGTGTTTGACCTCATGCTTGACAATCTGGACTTTGACGGCGTTGGAAGAGCGGGACTGTCGCAAGGAAAGATCAGGATGTGTGAATCTGGGACTGAGCTACGCTGCTTCTTACTAGGCCTGATCGGCGATATGGCTGCTCAAAAGCCTGTGGGTGTCTATGACGGACTGGCTGCCTTGTATAATGTTGTCTCTGGTATCAAACGTGATCAGCTTCCAAGCCTACGCGATCATGCGAACGAGTTCATCGAGGGTTTCGAGCAAAACGCTGGACCGACAGACGACGAGACGCTTGCAAGTCGTGAGAAGGATCTACTGATGCTCTCCTTCTTGGCTTATTTCCGCGCGTTGTCACCACCGGCAAACTCCGAGCTGTACTTGTACGTTTACATCATGTGGATGTTGCCTTGAGTAAAGCCCTGACTGTGTTCACGTGCTTCTTGTCTTCATAAAGCATGATGATGAAAAAGCTAGGCAATGCAAGCAACGAGCTTGGTAAGTATTCCCTTGCCGTGAGGTGCGACTACAAAGAAGCTTTCAGATGGTTTGAGCGCGGCTGCAAGATCTTCAGTGATATTGAAGGTATGTAATTGCTAGTAGTGTCCATGTTCATTGTGATTTCGAGCGAATTTCATCTAACGCGCTTTGTAGATGGAGTCAACGTAGCGCTGCTTCGAGCCAATCTTGCTCACCTTCACAAGATATTCGCCCAAGGTAAATCGGCCGATGACAGGGTGGAGCATTATGAAGCTGCGATCCGACTTTGCACGGAAGCTTTGCAGTTGCTGAAACAAAGCAAAGCAGACATGGACTTGAACCGAAAAGTGAAAGGGGAATTGGCCCTGACTTATCTCGTATGGGCAGTGGATCTGGCAAATAGTGTGTCGATACTGGGCCCGACTGGATCTGCTGCATCGACGAAAGTGCGCGAAAACAAAGCGCTCACGATATTTAACAAGGCGTTGTCATTGTATGCCGAGCTGGGCGACGAGAAACAAACGGCGTCTACCCATTACCAGATCGCTTCATTCCACAGCCGCATGATTTCAAGTACGTTGCAAACTGAGCGAGAAAACATACGGGCCGACAAATGCGACGGGTTCTCGCCAACACTTGCGAGTCGCATGGAAATCACAAGGAGACATTACGAGAAGGCCCTCAATTATTTTGGCGCTGCGGAAGTTGGCAAGACGTTTGTGTTGATACATCAAGAACTGGCGGACTTGCACATACTCGGTGGTCGGTTCGAAGGCATTGAGCATGCCTTGCTGATACTGCTGAGCACGTACAAGGCGTTTCATGTCGGCCACAGCAAGAATCGGAAGCTCGAGGACGACGACATGGCGCTGCTTGCTTGCAATGTAGTGGCAAAGGTGAAAGCTGTCTTGCACCAGCTGATACGACTATGCTCCAGTGATCGTCTCACGCTTGTTGGGGCGAATGGTACAACGTCAAAGAGCAAGAAACTAGACATGTTCAAGAAGATGTACAAGGAAATGATCTACTACGACGACGCCAGCGCAGACAGTGTCGTTCCGATTCTAGGCACCTTGCGGGGTATGTGCATCCTATAGATTGGCTTGGCTTGCAAGCAGACGGTGCGACGTGGAATGCTGCACGCTCAAGCGATCGGAAAAACGGTCGCTGGCCTTCGTGGGTTTGTCAACGAGGAACAACCAGAGACGCCTCGGCGAAATTGGAATCGAGCGAGGACAAGGCGTTGACTACCATGTCCGACTGATCGCATTGCGTGGCGATTGTTTCCGTACACGTTAAGGTGGTTGTGCACCAACCCACACTCGCGCTGTCTGAAAAGTGTCAGCGGATGACGATGTAGGAATCGCAATGCAGTACACAGCGACTATGTCGCTGGATGCATCACGCAAGGGAGAACTTGGTGTGTTCTTCTTCGCCAGCATCGGGTTGGCAGCAGCAGCTGTCGACAGGCGGGTCGGGAGGATCTCGTCAACGAATACGGCGATGTATGAGTGCAGCTGCTGATGGTGTGTACCATGACGCGCGAGGTTGCAGCCGAGGTGGACTGGCGCATGCTAGTGGAGATGGTGCTTTCAGTAGGCGTAGCAGCAGAGCTAACGCACATCCCAACCATGTAGAGAAGACATTGTGAACACCCGACTTGACATTGTCAGATTATGATAGTAGAGAGATCCGCCGGTTCCGTCGCAATGAAAACGACACTGATGCTGCGTCCAAGTAGACGGATCAACATCGCGCTTCTATCGAAGTTGGTGTCGGCAATGCAACCGAACTTGCAGCCCCACGTAGCTGGTCCGTGATTGCGACCGCGCTCTGTTGCAATGACGTCGTGTCTTCATCCTCATGTATATCCGAAACGGCTGGGTGCATGTCGTTTCGTGTTTGCCAGCAAAGATAGCGACGAAGGGGCATCTCAATTCTGCATGTGCAGACCAAAACAATCTCGCTGTAGATGGCAGTGCTTCTAAACATGGTCAGCGCGACTTGCGTGAGTGCAAAACATGGCAGCAAACGAGATGACTGCCCAGAGAGAAGCTGCTCCACGCCCATCGTCTTCATTTTGCATGTTCCTGCACCACTTTGTCGGCAGCGCAACTTCTGCTCTCCAACTCATCAGCTGTTTTGGTCTGCAATCTTGTATCTCCATGTATTACTGAATTAGTACGTCGTGACGGGCCAGCCACAATGCATCTAACATCATGTGCGTGTCCATCGCCCAACGCTAGTAGTCAAGGCGGCCGTGAACCACCTCGCGCTCTACGACACGGCCGCGCCTTACCCACAGATCACCCATTGTCAGCCACTCTGTTCAATCATCATCCGCATACAAGGACGACTTGGATAGCAGCACTGGCATGTGGAACGGCTGACCAGCAGCCAGTTTGCTTTCGATCTCCATTGCTGCTACTCGGAAGTTCAGCCACCTGCAAATCAGAGCCAAATCAGATTAGAACGCGCATTCAAAAGCCATCGCATCGCAAATACAAAACTTACTCTTTGACAGCAAGCACCGAGTACGGCAACAACGACTCGGGCACGTTATCCGCAGCCGTGTGCTTCCCTGTCAGCGACTCCAGCTGGTCGGACACTTCCGCTACATCTACCTGCGACAGCGTCTCGTTATCTCTTCGCACCGCCGTCTCCGCAGTTGCATTTTGTGCCAACACTTCCATCCACTCCCGCTGCTCCTCAAATGATGGAGCACACAACACAAACTTCTGGTAACCGCTATCGACGGAAAAACAGTAAAAGAGCACAGCTCGCGTTCCCTGAGAGTGGTCCAGCTGGTTCGACACTTCCGAGACCACGCTGCCGATAACGTTCATCTCGCGCTTGATTGGGCCTTGTTCGGTGTCGGCGTAACCCAGCTTGTTGTTCTGAAGCGAAAAGTACTTGCTCTCCCAAGTGGTCTTGTAAATAGCCCCTTGCTTAAGCAGCACACCCTTCTTCTTCCACGTAGCCTGCATCGTCTGCTTTCGCAACAGGTTTCCGTTCTCGCTCTGGCGCTCGATGTATGTTTTGGCAGCAACGTAGACTGACTCGAGCAGTCGGTTGAACTTCAGTTGAATGTTCGAGTCCATTTTGGGCTGTAGGGACTCCGACCGGTTGAGACCGTCTTCCGATGCACTGCGTCCTTTCGGCCGGTCTAACTGAAAACTGTCTCCGCTTTTGTAGTCCGAAGTGGGGGTGCTGTGGCCACTGCCAAACCCGCGGCTACTTGGTGACGATATTGTAATGGACAAATTGGATCCTGATCGTGGAGATGAGCGCGGTGACGACGAGCTGAGTCGCTTGTGTCCAGAATCTGCCAGGTTGCTTGCACTGGACGAACGCGAGCGTCGCACAGTATCACTTGGCTCTTCGGTTCCAAGAGATTGGTTGAAGTCAGCAGCAACGGCGTCGATTTGTCGACGGCTGTGCGGCGGTGTGTCCACGAACGATGCCCCTTTCTGAGTCCATCCATGTGGCTTCATAGCGCGGAAAGCAATCAGTGTGTGGAAGAAACTACGCACTTCACGGTGCCAGTGTAGGAACAGTCGAATGAAGGACCGAAGCAGCTCAATACGAAGCTTTTCCGCATGTCGCTCCGGGAAGCAATCCCAACAGTTGTACAAAAGCTCCAGCGTTGTCAACACAACCTGAGTATGTTCCGAGTCCAGCAAAATGCGTAATGCAGCACACAGGAAACGAAAATCGAACGACGGCGGAAGCAATGACACCTCGTCACCGGCTGGAATCGAGTATTGGTCGTCTTGGTGGAAGTTCCAGCGATCATTGTTTTCCAAATGCGACAAGCAATACGAACTTAGACGAACGCGCCAACTCCGAATCATGTACATCCACACTCCGAGCAGTTCGACAGTACCGATAACCGCTGAGACGTCATGCACGCTGGTGCTGCTCAGCAAGAACTTGGTCATGGGGTTGATCAAGCTCGAGTTTGACAGCATCGTGCACGATAACTTGTAAAGGGTTGGTGGAAGCCAGCCTGACTTTTGTGTCTTCAACTCCAGAAAGAAGACCATCAGCACTTGAGTGTATCCAGGCAAGTGGACCCACCCAATCTTTCGATTGAGGACAGCCAACGTGTCCAGGACATACCACAACCACTGATCCACCAACAAGATATTCAGCGTATTTGCCTCTCCGACGAGCCGACGGAAGCGCGATTTCCATGCTTCGGAAGTTATCTCGTACTTGTCTTCCGCTTCCTCTTCTTGATGCCGAAGCACTTTCTCCCCGTACTCGTCGAAAACGGCTTTGTGGAACCGTCGCCAGTCCAAATGAGCTTCCAAACCATCCATTGCAAACAAATCTGCAACGGCGTTCATTCGAAACTCAGCGGCGAGCTCAGGTACCGGTTCATTGTATGATTCCGACCACAACTGGTATATTTCCACGCCGAAACTCGGAAGCCGAAAACACAGAACTGATAACATTCTCGCTACAAAAAACATCAGGTTGTTGTTCATCACACCACGAACAGAGACCGTCTGAAGGACGCAAAACTTGGTCTCTACGAGCATCGCCCGCAACTTCAGCGCAAACTCCAGGTCCTTCTTTGAAACCTTGTGCGTATGCTTGATCCCCAATAACGTTGTCACCATAGTCGTGTCAAAGCCCAGCAACGGTAAGTCACTCAGCTCGGCACGTTTTACCAAATAGAAAAGCAGCTCGTAAAACACATTCCTGAGTGTGTAGTGACGAACGCGAATGTTTTCCAGCAAAAATTGCCACAGCCGTAACAAAATGTTTTTCGTCTCTTCCAGCGCCTTGGCAGACACGTACACCCACGACAGCATTGACGCTTTGTGCGAAACTTGCAGCATTTTCAGTATTTTTGTCGCCTTCCGCACCTTGGCTTCCTGGTCATCTTTTTGACGGTTTGCCATCAGCTCCACCAAATCTTGCGTTTTCTCCAACACACGCTGAGCTTCTATCGGGATCACCACCTTCGATCTGCGCAAGTTCTTCTTAGGCCCTGCCGCTGCTGCTCCGATAATCACAGCGCTTGACGAAGAAATACCATTCTCACTGTTCACGCCACATCGGAGCTGTCGTACGTCGGGAATGCGCTTGAACAAGATAGTGCCATATATTACTCCAACTTGATGACCCTTCAATGTGAGGCTGTGTTCGAATTTGCTCGTGACAAACTGGTCGGGATATCCTAACCCGTTTGTCTCGTCACCGGAATCAGCATCATGCTTTTTCTTGATCCGCTCTTGGAATGCGTCTTCGAAAATTTTCTCCAACGAAAGCCACGTTTGCCCGAACAAGATCGTGTTTTTGATCTCTTCGTCAAACTGAATATCTGTGCTTGACGTTGCCTGCGTACACAATCGTCAGTCGACCACTTACAATTTATATCGACTTCTCGACAAAACGATCGTGTGGCATGCAACGCACCAATGTATCGCTCTTGTACTTGTCCAGCAAGCCCACAAACTCTTCATCTGCATCCGTCGACATTTGACCTCGACCTACTAACAGCTGGCGAACCTAACAAAGCAGAATAACAAGACCGTCACGACTTTACACGCAACATCCACCATTGCCAATCGTGCACTCACCTCCAACGTCAGCGTTGCCGACATGAGTTCGTCAAACGTACTGTACCGCTTGATCGGAGGCAGGTAGTCCGACGATGTCGTCCATCCCACACCGATCGGGTCTTGAGCGACCAGCAAGTCAGCAGCAACTTCATCGTCGGCACCGGCGTCGCTCTTTGATTGCGTGTTTGGTCGCGACACACGAGACGACAAGACTGCTAACCGAGCCAACGCCTGGAAACTAACTTCGTCAATCTCGCCAATCTCGCGCTTCACTGCGTGCTTGAGCGTATTGCCCATGTAAAACTTCTCGTTAATGCCAATCGTGCACTTGTAGCTCACGCCAAACTTCTTCAGCGGCAACGACGCGTCTTCTTGAAAGTCATGGCCTTCTGGTCGGTCCAATTCGTTCGCAATGGCCGGCATCATGACCCCCACGTCGCTCACTGAAATGTCCCACTCACTGCACTGTTCCATGTAGCAATTGAACACCACGCGTCCGTTTTCACAGCCCGTCAAGTGGTGGTCGTGGTGGACCGGCCCCGTGGCAATGCTCCACAAGTCGACGTGCGTCTGGCCAATCAGCTGGTCGGCCTGGAACAACTTGCTGGCAAACACCTTGACCGTCAAGAACTTGCTCGCGAGCGCCCGCAGCGTCGCCTTGTACTCAAAGGTAATGAGCACGCCCTTGTAGTTCGGGTTCAAGTCGGCTTTGATCACGGGCGTAGCAAACGGCGGCACGCGCGTGGCGTCGGCCGTTGCACAGCTACTGAGGCGCTCTTTTCGCTGCGACGCACTCGACGCACTCACGTCCACCGGCCGGTCGCTGTCCCAGTGAAACTCGACGTACGGGTCGCTCTTGCCGCTAAAGCGCCCGCCCTGGAGGTTGCGGCACTGGATGCCCGAGAGGCGCACGAGGAACAGACGCTCCTCGTCGCGCCGCGTCTTCTCCAAAGGGTCAAACACGCGCTGGAGGAACTGCGGACTGCGCCGCGCGGTCGCGTCGCGGCGGGGACTGCTGCCCGCGTACACTTCGCCAAACTCGCGCGTGGCCTGCGACAGCTGGTTGAGCTCCTCGAGGCTGCGGATCGACAGCTGATTCATCTGATTCACTGTGAGCTGCCGCGGCGAGCCGCTGTAGCTCGAGCGCGCGCTCATGGCCAGTTTTTCTGTCGCGCGCCACAAGCGAGTGCCGGTCGGGGGGCCCAAGGCAAGACACGAGCACGAGCGCAGGGGCGGGGACGGGACTGGCGACAGTGGCTCTGCTCCGCGTGCACACGGAGGAGGAGGCGGTGTGTGGCGCGTGGGCGCACGCAGAGAGAGAGAGAGAGAGAGAGAGAGAGAGAAGCGACAGCAGCGGCGGCGGCGGCGCTACTGAACGGTTTAATGCGTCCGGACGTGGCGGTGAAATGGACACTTTTTTGTGTCGTGGGCTGACGCGGCCGAGATTTTGGCTGCAAGTGGGGCGTGTGACGTGGACCACGTGGCGCGAGAAAGCGGCGGGTGGGATGTCAGCGACGGGGCGCGCGCGGTTACAAGAGGGGGTTTCGTGTGGGGGTTATCCGGCGGGCCGTGTGGCGCGTCGAAAAACAAGCACTTTATTTTGGGGGACGATGGGATGATGGATGGGGGAGGCGGTGGGTGCGAGGGGTGCGAAACCGTCTTTTGACATTGGTAATAAAAAAAAGCAATCGACGGGAGAAAGGCATGGCGGGACAGCTGCGAAAAGAGTGTGTGTGTGTGGGTGGGTGTGGGTGGCGGAACAGTGGAACGACGCGTGTAGGGGAAAAAGAGCGGATCGATTGTCGAGAATTCCCGTAAAAACGCTGCTGGCAATTGGCCGATAACTGTCGCACCGTCGTCAAAGTCTCCTCGACGACAACGTCAACAACGTCCCCTCCACTCCGGCCGAGAAAAGCAAGCGCTTTTCCAGCAACATAAGGGCGCTAGTTGCTTTTTTGTGTGGTTGCGTGATACGGTTTATTGACGACACGTGTCTGTCTACGTGGTCTGTTTTGGGTACAGCAAAGAAAAAGTTTAGTCGGTCTGAAGGAAGCGAAATACGTCGATAGTAACGGGAAAACGCACTCGAGCGTTCGTGAGTCGTAAATGTATTGCGACTTGCAGTTGTGCAAGTGCGTGAGTCGAAAGAGTGGACAGACGGGTTGGGTTGCACACCACCATCTGACACTTTTCGTAGGACGCGTATTTGCACTACTGCATGGACAACGCATAGGTCAAGAGATCGATACGAAAGTGTAGTGGAGGCAACAAGGGCCAATGTATGTGTCTGCAGGGACCTTTGCGTACATGTTGATCGGCAATACTCCATCGTCACTGCTCGAAGTGGCTTCCTCAGAGCACTCTGTGCCATTGAAGAGAGCGCAGTGAGCTCCTGCTTTGTCGCAACGAAGCCGTACGTTGCGACCGACTTGCTCGGGACCGGACGACGGCGTCTCCCTACATGCTCCAAGTTGCAACACTGTAGCGTCAACGAATGCAGCTGCAATTATCGGAGCAGTGCTTCATCTTCGTTCATTCACTCAGGACATCCCTCTGCAGCTCGCAACGTCTGACACCTTCTCTATAGTACATTTGTTGAATCCGTCATGCGCTTTAGCTTGTACAGCCTCGACCGCACGACACCAGACCGAATGCTTCAACCGAGCGGTCGATATGCCACGCAAAATTAGTTGTACCGGCAGCAAAGCTGGTAGCGTTCCGTACAAGTCGTACCCCACGCAGTCTGCGGATCACCACGAGGTCCCACGACCGAGACAACAGACATGCGTAGATTCGACAGGATAGCTCGAGAAGAAGGAGTGATACGTTGTGGAAAGTCGTTATTCGTCGAGCTATCCCCGTCCGGTCGTCCACCATCTTCCAAGTGAGTATACCGGATATCCCGTGTTTGTCTGGTACTGCAAGCGCTTCGTCCATATCGACATCAGGTTTTCACCGACTTTGGTACGACTAGTGCCATCAGGTGTCGTAATAGCTTTGTCAAGAGTGTCACAGGACCTCTGATTGAGTGACCCTGTGCTTGTAGCACTCGATACCCACGACGGATCATTTTTACTATCTCAGCACACCCTTTCCTCGAACACCTTCGCTTCCTCAATGTACTCAGCATTCTGCTGCACTTGCACTTGTACCGATGCCACCACCATCGCCACATCGCCACATCAGCCATCAGTCGACGTCATCTATGCTGTACTAGTCAAGAAAAGGTGACAAAACGGACGTATCTGCTTCATTAGTAGCTGCTGCTACTACACCGCCATTTTCAGCGACGCGTCTTCTTATCTCCCTGCAATAGAGAAAGGATCACAGCGTTTGCTCCATGTCGAAAGCCCGAAAACGCGTTCAATTACAGACTGCGGGCAGTTCCTTCAGTGCGTCGCTATTCATTTGTGTTGCGACATCCATCAACAACGGCGTTGCCCATATCGCGTCAACTTTTTTTCTGTTGACAACAACATCGCATATTGTTCGAGCACAAAGAGCTGATGACGTGTTTGACTTGATGATCTGTAGTGCCGGTTTCTTCGGCTTCTCGGTTATAGGAGTGGCGACAAGCTTACTAAATCTTTGAGCTCTTGGATGTACGTTATCGGATGCAGTGATTCATCGAGAAGACGCTAACTACTCAAGTTGTATCCTGCTTCTGTCGGTGTTTACGAGGCCTAACGTGCTTACTGGCAGTCTCATTCTTCGATCGATGCAAAAAAGGTGACAAGAGGCTCGTTGTTGGTGGGACCATCAGTAGCTTCCGGCTTGGACTATGGTACATGCTCGATCTTATTACATGCCGACAGATGTCAATGGGACGCAAAGGCGTTACGGTCATGTCAAAAGTACTAGACGTGGCGCATGATGTAAGCCTGAATCGGCAGAGATGCTGGGCGTGCTCGGACAGTGTCCAATGCTGATCGTGGGTGGTGGCATGACGACGAGAGTGGACATCTTCGATCAAGAAGTGGCGCTTGTGCGTGTGGACGTTCCGATACAGAACGCACGTAATCTCATCCATCGGTAGATGTCGTAACATCGATAATGCAAGAGGTAGGAAGCATACAAGACTTCTTCCTCGATGGGTAGCGCAATGAAGTGATGCGATGCAATGACAGGCCAGCTATCTCACGTAAAGCCCATGTGTGTGTAGTACAGTCGCTGTCGTCAGTGCTCGTGTAAACGGCAGCTTCGATTCGATTGAGGTAGTTGTATCCAATGTGAAAGACATGTAGGAGTAGTGCATTCTATCATGAAAGTGTCATGCAGAAAACGCATCATCCAAAACGATGCGGACAGCATCCCTTCATTAGCAGTAGACTAGTTACTGTACAAGCAGCAATTAGACTACCGCGAATGGTGGCATGCTGCGAACGCTAATTCGTTCCAATCTAGCATGAAGCATTGCCATCGACACGCATGGCGAGCACAGATCTTCCTGCACCACAAGCCATCAGCTTGTTTTTCCCGTATCTTCCTCGACAAACCAGTCAGTCTCCGCTCGCACACGATACCATTTCCTACGCAGTCGCTTGTCGCTGCATTTTGGCCGACTTCAACAGACGGAATTGCCTTAATCTGTATTTGTAGCAGCTACTGTTGTCGCTTTGAGCGCGCGTGCGCTAACGCGAGAATGGTAACTCCTCTACAATGAGGCGCTTGCTTTTCTGTATCGTCATGTGAATTAACATGTCAACAGAAGCTACGATTCTCACGTCGTATTGACGCGCATTGTACATGTCAGTATTACTAAGTATCACACAAACTCGGTGATTCATTAGGATGAGCTTGCGACGACGACGACGTGTTGACAAGAAATGTCTGCGTCATGGAGTCGGCAAGTCACTTTCGTATCATTTGTACAGAGTTTGTCACTGCGTGAAGTGCGAATGGCTAATGAGGCGTCATCAAGTTTCGACAGAAATCGTATAGTTAGCTTTACGATGCAGCAACAGGAGCGGGACAGAGTTCATGACCCGTAAAGTTGTTATAACATGGCTAGAATAAACGCGATGCATTTTGCGCATTTAATCACGTTGTACGCGTTCTCAGAGATATTCCAGCACTTTCGCAACAGTTGACAAGAAAGCGGCTCCCATCTGAGTTAGTGTGCAGCACACGAATCCTGACATTGCTGCAACAACCGGATGTCACCGGCAGTGACTGGGCTTCTCCCATCCAAAGCCCCTCCTCACATTTGGTCGGCGTCAAAAGGGAGGGGGGACGTAGTACACGTCAAAAGCTTTTTAGGTGTGAGCTGAAGTTTGACAGAACGTAACAACGAAAATGCAACAGCGACGAGAAAATAGTCCCGGCGGGTGCGCAAGTCCACGCAGTTGCCTTCCGGTATCAATGCAAAATGACTTGCGACCAACGTATGCTACAACAAAGTACGTGGACAACGGTTAGCATACCCTTCTTGGCGACAGTTGCCATACAACTACGTGCTGGCTCAGACTCGCCATCAGTACTGTCAGCTATAGCTCTTGAGTGCATATGCTATGCGATCGAGTTTATGACATGCAAAGACTCGTATTTCTTTGGTCTACTATGAAGAAGCTAGGGGTAACTCGCATGTGCAGGGCTGCTACCCGAGATCCGTTCGTTGGTAAGCACGTTCGCAGAGATTCTAGTGCGACCAATCTTTACACTCTACAAGGACATCGATGTACCAAAGTGCACTTCTTGCTTAGGTGTGACGACACAGAGCACTTCTTGAATTGGCTTGACGTCACCAACCTTACTTTGTAAGCCACGATACAGCACGAGAGCGGAGACTGCCGATCAGACACTAATCAAACAAGAGCTGCGATGACTGAGTAGTGATGTCTCGCGCGTCAGCGTGCGGTATGCTATTTCGTGACGGCTCGACGGTCAACGATAACTCGATACCTTCACCTTTGAAAGCCATTCACACACATGTTCTCGTGTTACAGATTCACAGCTCCCGTGTCATAGGTGTGTCCGCTTTTACCGTGACAGTCAGGAAATCGGACGTGCCAGCCTTTTGGTGTGCGCGCTCATGAAAATGATCATGAGCTTGTTTGCTTGACAGCTGACACGTCGGTCAACAGTTGCTATCGAGCACTGGTTGGCGTTGATCTGTATCGTCAATGCTACCCGGTGATGAAAGCACTCGGCAACGTTCGTATGACATGTCTGCAGCGAGGTCCAACATTGTATCGTGCTTGTTCTCAGACACTTGTATTCGTGCTTGAAAATCTCACGTCACCGCTTTCGTAGGCGCTTGTGGAAAGCTCATTTCCTTCTTGCACGCTGTCTACAAGAAGACAGATCTACGACGTTCAGCGTAAGGAAAGCAAGTGGGTACGTACCGCGATGCTGTCGAAGAGGTTACGGATACTTCGACCATTCTTCAGAGGAAACATACCAAGCTCGATCCTTCGGTCTGTTGCAGATCAATGCTGATGCAGCGATGTTGTAATTTTTGGATTGATCCTCCGATCTCAGACTGCTTTACGGAAGCTATGGTTGCATCCTTCTCCAGCTTTGGCCCGCTCTTGTAGCAGGGCGTGCTTCGCTGAGCTCGGATTTTACATTGACAAATACTTGCGTAAAGCCATCTGCTCTAGCTAAGCCAGCAAAGCTCACTCTGAGCACAACTGGCATGTTGATGTATGCAGTGGAACACTCACCTATGACACCGCATTACGTGCAGGAGGAGGAAACGTAGAAGAATCCTTCCGACATGACAAAAGTCATAGCGACAAATGGTAGCGTTCTGGCTGTAGCAGACCTTGTCGAGCTTGTTGCTATGCTGCGGCGTCTTGCGATGAGTAAATACAGCCATACCGAATAGCGTCAAGCATCGACAGCTGGAAGGCTGTCCCGTGGGTGAACACGTCAGCATGCTACTTGTCAACATCAATGCAATCTTCGACAGGTATTTCGATACGCCGATGTGGAGGCGTCGGAAGCAAAGGGCCAGATATGCTATTTGCATGCAAACGCTTGCGCTGGTATGGTCGCTGCAGGACGAATGGACACTTTGTTTCTCGGTTGGCTACCGCGTCGATCGGGTCGAAGATAGGCGGTAGTCAAAACGACCGCAGTAGACGCACGAAACGGAAGCCCTTTCTAACATGTTTAATTCGAATGCCAGCGTCAATTTGTTTGTCAAAACAGACACTGGTCGAAAAACACCACATCTGTTAGAACTCGTGCTTTTTTTCAGACGCGCCAATCTATCAGCCAGTTAATGAAGCCAATGGATGCAGCTGGGCTTGTGAACCGCCTGCACGTTCGAAAAATAAACCACCGGGCGCACCGCTGCGGTCGTAGTTTACCCCCCCACGCATCACCAGCGCCATGAAACGCTCCGAGTCTGCTGTAATAATACCGACAAAGTCAATGGCAAAGCGCGTTAATGTTCTTCGGGTGCGATCGCGGAAAGGCCTGTAACGAACCCGATCGCCACCGAGTCGAGGGGGACACGTGCGATGGTCTTCGCCCCGCCCCGTCTCTTTGTGGTTTTTGATCATGACGTGCTTCATGGCTCCGTGTCAACCAAAAGCCGACGAAGACGTTACTACAACACGAGCGCTCGCTGTCACGTGCCTTTGTGGTGGATCGAGTACGATCGCTGACGTTCGAGCAGTTTTGTCTTTCTTTCTTTCGATACGGACCGCCAGCGTCAAAGCACAGCAGCTACGAAAGCACATCGGTAGTTGCTAAGGGTAGTTGTGTGTGTGTGTGTGTGTGTGTGCGTGTGTTTTGCATACCTCGTGGCGACGATTGCTTCGAGGCAAACCGGCAGCATACAAGACGACAACATTCTCTGTGGGTCTTCCAGCCCGTCTCGTCCGACTGCTCTTGGCGTCGACTCGTCTATTGTGGTCAGCTAGCGCCGGCGTGGCCTCGAGCGCACGGCAGCTGCTTTTACCACAGTCCGAGCGACCGCAGGAAGAAAAAAAGCGACGGTCGCACCTCTGGCGATGGTACACACAGACACTGAGGTGGCATCCGTCGTCTAGAGACGGTCTGCGCGACAAACACTACATAGCGACATACAGACTCGAGCGCACGTCGAGTCAGTCAGTTTGTAGCGCTTGCGTTTCGACTTCGCTAGCTTTGACACAATGCCGCAAGAGACTCAGGCAAGGACCAAACGCTTCACGCTCTACCAAAGCCATGCCACACTGTGCAAGCACGAACGGCCGCCTTCTCGTCTCTACTGTACGGCTGCATGCCACACACAACCTGATCATTAGAACGCGTCCTCCGTGGCGACAGTCGAGCTCTTAATTCATGCCCCGTTTTCTCACGGCCCTCGCATGTGCCACGATTTATCCGTGGCCGTGCATCAACGGTCCCGATCCGTTTTATGTTGTGCACAAGTACCTACGCTCGCAGCCAGTCAATCACTCAGTCAGTCGGATAGCGAGTGAGTGAGCCCCACGAGAATGTCCTAGAATCCCTGACGTTCGTTAGCTGGTCCAGTGATCACGCAGGTCGATGGCAAGTCACGCTTGATTGGAAGCGCCCATGCGACAGTCGACGTGCGCGAGGGCTGGTCGTCGTCGCACCAGTGGGTTTGGAACCCATCGCGGCATCCGATCAAGTGGCCGCTCCCTCGCTCCCGCTCGAAAGCGTGGCGGATGTCCATCACGAGAGACGAGACGAGACTTGATCTCTCTCGACGCCGCTTCTAATCCACTCGATGTGAAGACCAGCAACACATAGTCGCGCCAAGACAAGACGCTCCTTTCTCTCGCACGCCGCTTCCTGCCCTACTCGTCGCGGTCGAAAGGCTCGGCAGGCACTGTCCGGATGCGCAAGGTCGCAACCGATCGCGCTTTCAACAGGACGGGAGCGGCGTTTCGCACCTATTGTCGGATTGATGCGCTCCATTGGCCGGCGGGGGGGATCGCCCGCTCGCTCGCTCGCTGCGATCCAGTCGAGACCGCCCCGTCACTTTTCTCGGACCACGTCCCGACTCGAGCGCTCAGTCGGTCAATCACTTTCCAACTTACCCGCTCGGCGCCACATCCATCGCGTGTGATTCCCACAGCTTTAGCGACATCGGCTTAACTGCACCGCTGCCACTGCTACTACCACAACAACAACAACAACAACAACAACAACTAGTTTGACTATGGGCGTGCGACCTCAACTGCACCTGCCGACAGTGCGCGAGCACCTGACGAAATCCCGCGACGAGGGCGTCGTATCGGCAAAGAAACACGCGCTCCGTCGCCACCGACAGCCGCCGCAGGAGCAGCTGCCCGTGTACGCGGTGGTCCTCCCGGAAGAGGCGCAGCAGCTCAAAGACAAGATATTGCGCACGCACAAAGACAAACGCACGCGGTTCAGCCTTAGCCACATGAAAAAGGTCGTTGTGCCACCGGTGAAGATCCCGAGAGAGATGAACAGTCCCCGCGCGCTGTCGACGACTGTCGCGGGACGCAGCGTACCCCTCACGCGGTGCATGTGGAACAACACGAAGCGCAAGACGCACCACATGGAGCAGATCGCCGAGTCGTACCCGCTCCACTGCACGTTGTTCCGATGAGAGAGGAGGGACACACACCACGTCAAGAGCTACACAAGGACACGAGTACATGGTCTCTACCGTCATGACGAGTGCTACTCCTACTACTGCTACTACTGCTATTGCTACTACTACTGCAACTACTATCATTCGTATTATCGTCACTTCGCTTCGAACTCGTCGATCGTAGACGAGCTTCGAACGCGTACCGTAAGCGTCTTTCTACTTAACTATTTAACACACTTACCGGCCATTCGGGCTATCCATCCGATTCTGTGTTTATCTATCTATCAATCTGTCTATCTGTCTATCGTTCGTTCGTTTGATCGTATTGTGGTGTCGCTATTGTCCGAGACGTAGAGCGCTTCCTACGCGTCCATAGTGGACGTTAAAGCGTGGAAAGACACGAACGACGACGTTTCGTTTCCCGGCATGCAGACGTAATGGGAATGTTAGGATAAAGAACGTCGATGACTGCCGAGTCGATGATGGACGACAGCGCAATGGACAGCGAAGCAGAAGGTGGGACGACTGGCTCGGACGACATGCAGCAGACACGCAAAGTGGATCCATCACCTCGGCCTCAACTGGTGTCGTTGCATGGATCGTACCAAGCACAGCTGCGGTGCCTGACGTCGAACTCGCGGCATCTGCGCGCTGTGTCGAGAACATTAAGCTGTCGTCGTCGTTGACGGCAGACCGCAACAACTACCAGTGGTATGTGTGTATATTTGCATGTATATGTATCGATGTTTGTATGTTGGTAGGCGATGTCGTTTAGATACTATACCCTGTCGTGACGACGCCTGGCTTGATCGTGATTGCTTCGAACGTTAGTGGACGCGTTGCTTCCCACGCCGTCGATGAACCGATGGCGATACGCGTGCGGAAGCTCATCCTCTCGACCAGTAGGCCGAGATGTGCATTATCTTCTTGTCTGCCTCTACCGCCAGGAGCGACCATCGGTCCCGCGTTGAAGCGAGGCGCTAGAAATCAAGTCGCCTTGCACACTGACTGAGCAGCGGTGCGTGGCCGCAGGCAACGGGCGGCAGCCACCACCGACAGACGCACGTCTTTCGTCTGTCCACGAAGCAAACGACGGACGGCCGACCGCCTTGAAGTACACACGCGCCCCATCGTCAGTGATTCACGTGACGTCAAGACCTGCGACCGCCAAGCGGTCGGTCAATCGTTTACTGACAAACGCAGATCCACGTCCGCAGGCGCGCAGATCCGTCTTCACGAGACCAGACTGGCCGCCACTTGCGTCTAACAGTCGAGCGCAAGTCCTCGTGGCGGCGTCACGCCTCGGGTCTAGCGCTGCATTGCAACACGTTCTTGTCCCGATCGCGCCAGCGCCACTAAAGTACGTGGGGTTTGGATGCCCAAACCGCGCGCTGGCCGCCGTTGCGCACCTCGTGGCGACGACCACTCTCTGCTTCGTCGAAACTTCGCGTGCGACACGACCGCAGGCTCCCGCCGTCGAGAGTCGGGTGGCTTTTTGGCTGCTTGGGCCCATTCCTGAGGCAGGTGGGCGCAAACAATGAGACAGTCGAAAAACATGCGATGAGTCGAGCGGGTACGTGCGTGCGTACGTGCGTACGAAAACGAGCCGTCGCCGGCGTGGAGGGCCCGTTACACTCGATGGTCGGACACTTCACCCACCCAAGCGCTTTGAGCCATTGTACACTATGGCGACTCGAGGAGATCCTTCGATATCGTAAGGGACCGAACGACTGGTTGTCGTGACGCGTACTTGAGCTCTTTTCGCACGCTAAGAGGACAGCGCCACGCGGCCGTCGCGTTTCCAGCCGCGCTGGGACGAGCGCATTTGCATGGGTACACATCAGCTCATGGGCTCAGAGAGAGCGAGTGAGTGAGTGAGCGAACAAGTTCGATTGTCACGTGCCGTCCGGTGCTTGTCACCGTCAGAGACCATACGTGGAGAGAGTGCGTCCGTGAGTTGCGCAGCGCGTCCATGACTTGCGCAGCCTCAAGATAGCAAAAGAGACAGGCAAACGGGCGTCCAATCCTGGTACGGTCGCCCGCGGGGCCAGCTGCGCCACGCTCGACTGCGTTTGGCTATGCGCTGCCGCGTCTTTTTGCACGCTCCGTCTTTCGCCGACGGGAGCGAGAAGAGGGGTCTGCTGCGCTGGGCACCGACTGTACCTGTGCGTGCGTAGCCAGCGCAGGGCTCCACCAAACTGCCTCGTCACCTTTTTTCAGGTCTCGCTCGCGCGTGATCGCTCGGCCGTGGACAGACACTGAGCCACCGACAGCACTTCCCAACTTGCCGCGTACTCGTGACGCCACCACCGAGAGCGACCCACGCGCCCCTCTTCACCCACAGTGTCTGTAGCTATGGGCGTGCAGCCAGGCACGCTGCCGCTCTACGTCCACCGGTCGGAGCCCCACCAGGAAAAGACGCTGCGGAGCCTCTCGAAACGCTCGCGCTTTCGTCGGCCGCACCGGCGCCACCAGCACCACCAGCCGTACGGACCGTCCACGGCCATTGAGCTGCCCGAAGACGTGCGCGTGCTCAAGCAGAAGATCCTCGAGACGCACCCGACGAAACTCACGCGCTTTAGCCTCAGCCACATGCGCCACCGCGCGATTCCGCCCGTGCTGATCCCCGAGACGCTGAACGACCGACGAGCGGTGCGGACAGTCGTGTCCGGCAAGAGCGTCCCACTGACGATGCACATGTGGACCAATTGCAAGCGCAAGGCCAAGCACATGGACATGATCGACGAGTGTGTCACGTACCGGTGACACGCGTGTGTGTCGTGTTCAGTTAGTTGCCACGTTGCGACTGTCGGTGTTGTTGCGACTGGTGTCGATCTGCTTTTTTTGTTTTCGACTTGGACGACCAACTTGGACGACCGACCGACCGACCGACCGACTTTGCACCGCGGGTCAAGCTCAGCTACCTCGCACCAGCTCGAGTTCTTCTCTCGCCTTGAAAGGCGCGAGAGAGAGACAGGATAGGGAGTGCCAAGTAGCCTAACGTAGAACGCAATACGATGCTTTTTCCACTGCCGTTGTCGAGCAGTAGCAACTTCGTGTGTCTAACCAGTTGTTCCCCTTTCCTCGACATACTTGTCACAACGCACTCTCTCGGAGGTGGTGTAGATAGAGGGGTATACGTCGGTCGGACGCCTGTTGACTGTACGACTGTCCGTCCTACGATAAGGCATATCGCCACCGCTGTGGTGATCGAGTGAGGACGTAATCAATCACGTGGAAATAACCCTACGCCGCGCTGGCCAGCGAGCAGCTCAGGATCGATAGGGCACAAGACATCATCCACTTACTCGATAGAAAGTCCAGATTAGAAGCGTTTGTGGATTGACTGACCGGCTATCGCGTTATTGTTCCTCGGGGGGCGGCGACAGAGTGGCAGATATGGAGCACTCCCGCGGCCCAATGACGACTGCTTCTTGTTAAAAAGCCTTCTTCGTGACCGAATGGGCACATGTCCGTCAGAGTGACGTGCACCGAGCACTGAAGAGTGGGTTACCGCACACACACACACACACACACACCCACGCAACACGCAACACGCGGAACCCTCGCGTTGCATGGGGGCTCATGACTACTCGCCCAGTGTCGTGATGGCATGTTGGTGGCACTGGCCACTAAAGTACCGATAAATGTCGATGACTAGCGACACTGCATGCACAAAATGGTGTGTTTCAACGATAGAGTGTACCCTCAACTCGACCTGCAAGTTCACTCTTCGTATCTAGTCACGTCTACGGCAATCACTCGTCCGTGCGGTACACGACGGCGGACAGTTTGATAGCTGACGCCGTGGAAGAAAGTAGTCCATCGACAGTTGAAGTCTGTGTTCGTAAAAGGCCAATGCGTAAACATCCCACGCGTCCAACTTGATAGACGTGTGTGGTACACGACGGCGGATAGTTTGACAGCTACGTCGTGGAAGGAAGTAGTCCATGGACAGTTGAAGTCTGTGTTCGTAAAAGGCCAATGCGTAAACGTCCCACGCGTCCAACTTGATAGACGAGTAGTACTCGATGCCTCAGAAGCTGCTTCGTCAGCCATAGTCCAAGTGAGCGTGACGATCCAAAGTCGACCCTGTATCCTCTAAAAGTAGCACCAAAGTGCCACTCAGAGCTACACGATCGAAGATCGCGGCAAGCTCCTGCTGCAACACCAGCGGCGCGTGTCGTCGTCATTGTCCAACTCTGGTAAGACAAGCGGCACCTATACCCGTTGAAACTGCACCGCCAGTCTTGCGTCATACTTGAAGTTTCAATCCCACACACACGCACACATCAACATCTGGCAATGGACTTAACAGGTCCGAAGTAGCACGACCGAAACTGCCCAACTGCCTTTCGCTGGGTGACACTTAGACCAGATAAACACAAAACCTGCAAACCTGCTGACGGGCTCTACACGTCAAGCGGTTGCTTGCGCCCCGCAACGGTATCTGCATCAATGACCAGCATCTTGTGCACCGTGAGCGGGATCTCGCCCCCAAAGAGCCGTTTGAAGACGCCGACCTGGTCCCAACTATGGTACTGCGCGGCAATGTGGAGGTCGTCAAACACCACGTACGTCGTGACCGTAAACGTCAAATCGGACGACTTGATCGCCAACAGCGCCACGCGCATTGTAGCCGGACAGTCTTCGGACGCACAGACTGTCTCGAGCGACTGGGCCGAAGCCACTTCGCCCTGAATGCGCCACTTGGTCAAGATCATCTCGCCGTCGGCAACATGGGGCCGCAACTCGACAATGTCCACTGCAACGTTTGTAAACACGGAGCGGATCATGTTCCAGAGACTGATGGTCTCGAGGCGGCCAATCGCGTCCCACTCGTGGACACCCACCCCTATGCGACAATCTTTGTGCCACACGCGAGACGCGTCGCTCAGACTCAGGTACGCGGCGTTGAGTTGCTTGACCATTTCCGTCACGACTTTCGTGCGCTCGGCCAAGAGGCGCTGCCCTTGCACAGTTGCACTTGGCGCCGCGTGGAATGCTGGCGCAGCAGCGGGTCGAGCACTGGCAAAGTTGCTCAAAGTTTCAGCCGCACCAGATTCACTTTGTCCAGTCCCAGGTGTCCCTTGTAACAAAGCCTGCTTGAGGTGCAAATTGTCCCGCTCCAAGTTGCGCACATGTTGCTCCAAGTCCATCAGCTTCGTGTGTCGCCTAACCGCACCCTGTGACGTCAGGTCCGCCCTGTCTGCCGTCTCGCGACCGTCCTCCCCCTCTTCTACCTCTCCCTCTCCTTCTTCGTCTCCTTCTCCTTCGTCTCCTCCTCTGCCCCCCTCTCGCTCAGCCGCCGGTGCCTTATCCGTCTCCTGCTGCTCGCTCGTGTAGCCATAAGCAGCTGTCGCAGCCGGTGCACTTCCAGTTACCGCTCGCAGCTTCTTCCGCCGTGGCAGCTCTTGTCGCGCCATCTGCTGCTGTTTGTCCATTGGCGACGCGTAGACAAAACGTCCACTTGAGGCGGTTTCGTGCAGCGCCTGTAGTGTCCACCAACTCGTGCCGTTGTCCCTCTGGTCGTGTCTCTTTACAGCCGCACTGCTGTGCGGTCGGCTCTTTTATGTGCGCTTAAAGGTCCATTTGTCGCGCACGACCTGGCGGCCATGAGGACATCGCGGGACGCGGATTGGACAATACTCGGTCGCCAAAGCGACTGCACGCGCGTTGAAGTGCTCTGGATGACCACGACGCGCGGTGCGCTGGTCCCACGCTTGACGGATCGGAACCACTGGGGGCTACAACGACACGACAGCCGTCTTATTCGCAGTGCCCCACGCTCGAAACACTCGCACATGTCCATCAAGTAGGCGTCAAAAAGAGACGAGACAGGATGTAGAGACCCCACTTCACTGCGCATGCTCTTGTATTCCACCAACGTGTGCAGAGCTACTGCCGTCCTCTGGTTCCACTACATGCACGTCGTTCTCCGCGTCTCGCACGCGACCAATCTGCTCGTCGCTTTCGTTGCTCTCCTCTAGCGTATCTTCTCCCTCATGGACAGACTGCTCGAGCTCTTTGGTCACAGCTTCTGCCTGCTCTTTAATCTCATGAGCCAGTTCCTTCAACTGCACGCCGTTGCCAGTTAGCTGCAACGTCATCTCCACATCTTCCCGCTCGGCCTCCGCTGCTTGCCATGCTCGAACAATGCTACGCTCGACCGTCTCGAGCTCGTCTTGTTCCTTTACAATAGCAGAGTACAGCGCCTTGTGCGTCTCCCTCTCTCTATCCAACTGTGCCTTCCGCGTCAGCACTTCCTCCTTGCGACGCGCAAATGCAGCCAAACTTAGCTCCTTCTTCGCCTCACAAGCATCAAGTCGCTCCAGCGTCGACTCCAAGTCGGCGCGGCACTGGGCTTCGGTCTCAAGCAACGCCACGCCATTGGCCAGTACTTTTGCTCTGGCTTGCAGCTCGCGCTCCGTCCGTCGGATCGTCTGCGCCTTTGGAGACAGCTGTTCCTGGATCGAGACATGGTAGTCCAGGGTTTTCTCCTGGAGCCAGGCGAACGAATTGTCCCATTTGTACACGAGCGTCGTGTTGTCGTGCTGGACGTGAAACACACCAGACTGCTCGTTCGTTCGCTCGGGTGAGACCACTTCCACCTCACTCGATACTGTATCCTTCGTCACTAGCGCACACAGTTTGAACACGACATCCGCGGTCTCCTCTTTTACCGAGAAACTCCACACGACGCGCGACCCGCTCTTCTCGCAAATCACCGGTAGCTCGAAAGTAGCGCCAGCCTTGATCACCACGCCACTGCGCATCACGAGACACTCTTCAAACTCCGGTCCGCTTCCTTGATTGACCAGACCTCGAGTATCATTGCTTTCGTTTCCCGCCCGCGATGGATACAGTACCGCCTGATACGTGTCACTAAAGTCGTAGACGTCACGGAACGCACGTGAGTGGTCCTCGAGCCGCTGCTGCAAGTCATCCACAATGGCCGCTACTTGCTTCTCAAACCCTACTACTTCAGCCTGTCGCTTCTGCACTTGCATCGTGTGCTCCTTCTCCAATTGCATCTGGTTTCGCTGAGCTTGGAGCGTAGTGAGCTCGTGCGTGTCCAATCGCAGCTCCAGAGCTGCCTTTTCTTCCTGAAGTGTCTCCATCTCTTCTTGCAGCGTAAACACCTGTTTTCGCATCTTCTTCAGCGCCTCTTCCTTCGCAGTCAGTACTTTGGCTGCTTTGGCACTGGCGCTGGCATCGTCATTGTTCTCTGACTCTATCGGTGAGGGTGCAAATAGATGCAGTACGTTCTGCGCTTCCTGCAGCTCTTCCTGAGAATCAGCCAACGCGACTGTCAACAACTTGATCTCACGATTGGCATCGGCTAGTGCTGCTGTCAGTGCGGGAATCTCGTCAGAGACTTCTTGCGTCTGCACTGCCATCATCTCGTCTTGCTTGCTCGAATCGACAAGCGGTGTTGGCGTACCATCGATCGGTACATGCGACGCCACTTCTCTCTTCTGTGCTTGAGCCACGACCGCAGTAAGACGCTTGACTTCTTCTGTCACAGCAGCCAGTTCCATCTTGTACTGGTTGCTCTGCTCTTCCAGTGCAAACACCTTTTCTGCGTTTGCAGCTTTCGTCGTAGCAAAACGCTCTTGTAACACAGCCAACTCAGCCCGAGCGTCACCCAGGTGCTTCTTGAGGGCAATCTCTGTGGCTTTCAGTGTACGAACTTCCTGCTCCAAAACAGCCGCACTACTGTTTCCTTCAGACGATGATGCAAGCGAAGATACAAACTCCACGGAAGTAGGGACGACTGACTCGGTACGAGACACGGTCGTTGTCGACGCACTCACTTTTGTGTCGAAACGGTCCTTCAGCTTCAGTTCCAAGAACTCGATCAGCTGTTGCCGCTTTCCATTCTCCGCCTCACTTACTTCCAAAGCGCTACGCATCTTTTCCAATTCCTTCTTGGCGCTTTGAACCGCCGCTGTGGCAGTGTCAAGACGAGTCTGAAAAGCTGCCTGTTCTGCCTGCTTCATACGCTCATTCTCCTCTTCCATCTGCTTCTTTGCAGCTTCTAGCGTCTGCATTTGCACGGTCAATTCCAGCACCTTCGTGCTCATTTGCTCTTTCTCCAGCGCCAGTCGCTCTCCTTCTTTCTCTAGATCGGCAATAACACGTGATTTCTCCGCTGCAAAGAGGTCAAAATCTGCTTGAATCATCGCCTGTGTACGCTGTTCCTCTTGGAGACGACGCTCCATGTCGTTGCGAGCAACAACAGCCTGTTCTTGCTGCTCTTCGCTCTCCCGCACTCGCGTGAGCAATGCTTCGTTCTCCTTTCGCATACTGTTCAACAACTCAGCACGTTTTTCCATTTTCTTTAGTGCAGCGTGTGACCGGACACGGTACCGCTCATAGTCGGCACGCATTGTAGTCAACTTTTGCTCCAGCTTCTCGACTTCTTCTTGAAGTGCAGCCTGCTTCTCTTGCTCCTGCATACTCGTCAAATGATCCTGAGACTTCACCGTCTGCATCGTTCCTAGCTCTTCTTTCAAGGACTCGACGAGGACACGGAGGTCATGCTCAGATTCTGTAAGAGCCACCACACGCTTTTGCTCTTGCAGCTTCTCGTCCGCTAGCGCATTCAATTTCAGTGTATCTTCCTCTACATGGGTACGTAGCAGCTGCAGTTCAGCTAGCCATTGTGAGACGTTAGTCCTGGCAATTGCTAAACGCTCGCATAGATCCCCGTCGGAATCTAAACCTTCCTTCACTTCTTCCATTGTTTCGTCATCCTTCGCAAACAGCTGCCAATTCGACGTCTTCATGAACTGCTCTATGATCAGCTTTTGACTATCACAATCGCTTCGCGCCAATTGTAGCCGCTCCTTTATCGATCGTATCTGGTCCTGAGTGGATGCCAAATCTGTCAAAAGCGGGACAAGTCCGTCGCATAGCTCAGTCACTTCTGGAGACTGCCACACTCTTTCCATGAGCTCACGCAATATGTCATCACCCAGCTCACTACCAGACTTCAAAACATGGACCATTTGGTGCAGCTCGGTGGTAAGCGTCGACAAGCACTCCTCAGCATGTCCACTTCTCACATCCTGCGCATCTCGAACCACCTCAAGTTCGCTCTTCAATAGGCTGCACTCACGAATCTGAGCACCCAACATTGCACGACAGGCGCGAAGCTCCTCTTTGCAATGCTCAAGTGCTTCTATAGTCTCGTCCTGCTCGGCTAGTTTTTCTTCAAGCGTAAGTTTTGCGTCCTTCAGCTGCGTAGCAAGACATTTGTTGATGTCTTCGCTATCATCAAGGCGCTGAGTCAAACGCGCTGTCTCTTCTCGTGACCTTTCCAGCTCATCAGCTAGCCGTGATTTCTCGACAGCAAGAATACCGAGTCGTGACTCAAGCTCAGCTTGCTCTTCTTCCAGTGTTGAGATAGTGCCTTGCTGAGCTTGACATCGGACCTCATAATCATCGACCCGTGACTGAAGAACGTCAAGATCCGCTTGCAAACTTATTCTTTCGACTTCGTCCTCACGCTGCAGCTCTTTAGCTGCATGCGTCTGGTCATTCCTCTGGCCCCTAGCAAGATTACCAGCTGCCGTGCTGTTCAGCTGGTAGCGCAGATCGTCAATCTCTGCCGTATACGTCGCCTTCAGCATCCTGATCTCGTCATCATACATTTCTGCAAGCTTGTCCTTCTTTGTGGTAATCACACGCACTTCATCTTTTAGCTTCTGCAGTTCTTCCATGCTAGAAGAGTCGAGCGTCTCGACAAGAGCCAAAAGAGAAGCGGTTGCCCTGTCCAGATGCCGATGGAGACCTTCGATCTCATCTCTGTGTGCGGTCTGAAGCACCGCGACTTCGGCTACACACGACTTCATACGACCTTCATTGTCGGATATCAAGCCCTCTGTCTTGACCTGCAGCAGATGAAGTTCATCGGATACACTATCTACATTCGCACGAATATCATTTATTGCAACTTGACGCTGGTGGCAAGACTCTCCGACAGTGTCGATGCAGTCACTTTGACCATCCACGTATTCTTCACACCGTGATCGGATAGAGCCTTCTTCTCCTGCGCCTCCCATTGCATCAGCATATTTCTTTTCATCGGCTTCCGTTTCACCACTCAACTCTTCAATCATCGAAATCAATTTATTGTCAAATTGACGACGCAGGTCGTCCACTTCATCGGCATGCGATTGCACAAGACGTTCGTGTTCCAACGTCAGACTTTCCAGCTGCCTCTGCAACATCTGCACCTCCTCCGTCTTCGAGTTCTCGTTCTCCTTCTCGACCTCGTCCGACTCTGCCGAGACAAGCGCCGTTGCATCCTCCAGTTGACGACGCAGCTCGTCCACTTCATCGGCATGCGATTGCACAAGACGTTCGTGTTCCAACGTCAGACTTTCCAGCTGCCTCTGCAACATCTGCACCTCCTCCGTCTTCGAGTTCTCGTTCTCCTTCTCGACCTCGTCCGACTCTGCCGAGACAAGCGCCGTTGCATCCTCCAGTTGACGACGCAGCTCGTCCACTTCATCGGCATGCGATTGCACAAGACGTTCGTGTTCCAACGTCAGACTTTCCAGCTGCCTCTGCAACATCTGCACCTCCTCCGTCTTCGAGTTCTCGTTCTCCTTCTCGACCTCGTCCGACTCTGCCGAGACAAGCGCCGTTGCATCCTCCAGTTGACGACGCAGCTCGTCCACTTCATCGGCATGCGATTGCACAAGACGTTCGTGTTCCAACGTCAGACTTTCCAGCTGCCTCTGCAACATCTGCACCTCCTCCGTCTTCGAGTTCTCGTTCTCCTTCTCGACCTCGTCCGACTCTGCCGAGACAAGCGCCGTTGCATCCTCCAGTTGACGACGCAGCTCGTCCACTTCATCGGCATGCGATTGCACAAGACGTTCGTGTTCCAACGTCAGACTTTCCAGCTGCCTCTGCAACATCTGCACCTCCTCCGTCTTCGAGTTCTCGTTCTCCTTCTCGACCTCGTCCGACTCTGCCGAGACAAGCGCCGTTGCATCCTCCAGTTGACGACGCAGCTCGTCCACTTCATCGGCATGCGATTGCACAAGACGTTCGTGTTCCAACGTCAGACTTTCCAGCTGCCTCTGCAACATCTGCACCTCCTCCGTCTTCGAGTTCTCGTTCTCCTTCTCGACCTCGTCCGACTCTGCCGAGACAAGCGCCGTTGCATCCTCCAGTTGACGACGCAGCTCGTCCACTTCATCGGCATGCGATTGCACAAGACGTTCGTGTTCCAACGTCAGACTTTCCAGCTGCCTCTGCAACATCTGCACCTCCTCCGTCTTCGAGTTCTCGTTCTCCTTCTCGACCTCGTCCGACGCTGCCGAGACAAGCGCCGTTGCATCCTCCAGTTGACGACGCAGCTCGTCCACTTCATCGGCATGCGATTGCACAAGACGTTCGTGTTCCAACGTCAGACTTTCCAGCTGCCTCTGCAACATCTGCACCTCCTCCGTCTTCGAGTTCTCGTTCTCCTTCTCGACCTCGTCCGACTCTGCCGAGACAAGCGCCGTTGCATCCTCCAGTTGACGACGCAGCTCGTCCACTTCATCGGCATGCGATTGCACAAGACGTTCGTGTTCCAACGTCAGACTTTCCAGCTGCCTCTGCAACATCTGCACCTCCTCCGTCTTCGAGTTCTCGTTCTCCTTCTCGACCTCGTCCGACTCTGCCGAGACAAGCGCCGTTGCATCCTCCAGTTGACGACGCAGCTCGTCCACTTCATCGGCATGCGATTGCACAAGACGTTCGTGTTCCAACGTCAGACTTTCCAGCTGCCTCTGCAACATCTGCACCTCCTCCGTCTTCGAGTTCTCGTTCTCCTTCTCGACCTCGTCCGACTCTGCCGAGACAAGCGCCGTTGCATCCTCCAGTTGACGACGCAGCTCGTCCACTTCATCGGCATGCGATTGCACAAGACGTTCGTGTTCCAACGTCAGACTTTCCAGCTGCCTCTGCAACATCTGCACCTCCTCCGTCTTCGAGTTCTCGTTCTCCTTCTCGACCTCGTCCGACTCTGCCGAGACAAGCGCCGTTGCATCCTCCAGTTGACGACGCAGCTCGTCCACTTCATCGGCATGCGATTGCACAAGACGTTCGTGTTCCAACGTCAGACTTTCCAGCTGCCTCTGCAACATCTGCACCTCCTCCGTCTTCGAGTTCTCGTTCTCCTTCTCGACCTCGTCCGACTCTGCCGAGACAAGCGCCGTTGCATCCTCCAGTTGACGACGCAGCTCGTCCACTTCATCGGCATGCGATTGCACAAGACGTTCGTGTTCCAACGTCAGACTTTCCAGCTGCCTCTGCAACATCTGCACCTCCTCCGTCTTCGAGTTCTCGTTCTCCTTCTCGACCTCGTCCGACTCTGCCGAGACAAGCGCCGTTGCATCCTCCAGTTGACGACGCAGCTCGTCCACTTCATCGGCATGCGATTGCACAAGACGTTCGTGTTCCAACGTCAGACTTTCCAGCTGCCTCTGCAACATCTGCACCTCCTCCGTCTTCGAGTTCTCGTTCTCCTTCTCGACCTCGTCCGACTCTGCCGAGACAAGCGCCGTTGCATCCTCCAGTTGACGACGCAGCTCGTCCACTTCATCGGCATGCGATTGCACAAGACGTTCGTGTTCCAACGTCAGACTTTCCAGCTGCCTCTGCAACATCTGCACCTCCTCCGTCTTCGAGTTCTCGTTCTCCTTCTCGACCTCGTCCGACTCTGCCGAGACAAGCGCCGTTGCATCCTCCAGTTGACGACGCAGCTCGTCCACTTCATCGGCATGCGATTGCACAAGACGTTCGTGTTCCAACGTCAGACTTTCCAGCTGCCTCTGCAACATCTGCACCTCCTCCGTCTTCGAGTTCTCGTTCTCCTTCTCGACCTCGTCCGACTCTGCCGAGACAAGCGCCGTTGCATCCTCCAGTTGACGACGCAGCTCGTCCACTTCATCGGCATGCGATTGCACAAGACGTTCGTGTTCCAACGTCAGACTTTCCAGCTGCCTCTGCAACATCTGCACCTCCTCCGTCTTCGAGTTCTCGTTCTCCTTCTCGACCTCGTCCGACTCTGCCGAGACAAGCGCCGTTGCATCCTCCAGTTGACGACGCAGCTCGTCCACTTCATCGGCATGCGATTGCACAAGACGTTCGTGTTCCAACGTCAGACTTTCCAGCTGCCTCTGCAACATCTGCACCTCCTCCGTCTTCGAGTTCTCGTTCTCCTTCTCGACCTCGTCCGACTCTGCCGAGACAAGCGCCGTTGCATCCTCCAGTTGACGACGCAGCTCGTCCACTTCATCGGCATGCGATTGCACAAGACGTTCGTGTTCCAACGTCAGACTTTCCAGCTGCCTCTGCAACATCTGCACCTCCTCCGTCTTCGAGTTCTCGTTCTCCTTCTCGACCTCGTCCGACTCTGCCGAGACAAGCGCCGTTGCATCCTCCAGTTGACGACGCAGCTCGTCCACTTCATCGGCATGCGATTGCACAAGACGTTCGTGTTCCAACGTCAGACTTTCCAGCTGCCTCTGCAACATCTGCACCTCCTCCGTCTTCGAGTTCTCGTTCTCCTTCTCGACCTCGTCCGACTCTGCCGAGACAAGCGCCGTTGCATCCTCCAGTTGACGACGCAGCTCGTCCACTTCATCGGCATGCGATTGCACAAGACGTTCGTGTTCCAACGTCAGACTTTCCAGCTGCCTCTGCAACATCTGCACCTCCTCCGTCTTCGAGTTCTCGTTCTCCTTCTCGACCTCGTCCGACTCTGCCGAGACAAGCGCCGTTGCATCCTCCAGTTGACGACGCAGCTCGTCCACTTCATCGGCATGCGATTGCACAAGACGTTCGTGTTCCAACGTCAGACTTTCCAGCTGCCTCTGCAACATCTGCACCTCCTCCGTCTTCGAGTTCTCGTTCTCCTTCTCGACCTCGTCCGACTCTGCCGAGACAAGCGCCGTTGCATCCTCCAGTTGACGACGCAGCTCGTCCACTTCATCGGCATGCGATTGCACAAGACGTTCGTGTTCCAACGTCAGACTTTCCAGCTGCCTCTGCAACATCTGCACCTCCTCCGTCTTCGAGTTCTCGTTCTCCTTCTCGACCTCGTCCGACTCTGCCGAGACAAGCGCCGTTGCATCCTCCAGTTGACGACGCAGCTCGTCCACTTCATCGGCATGCGATTGCACAAGACGTTCGTGTTCCAACGTCAGACTTTCCAGCTGCCTCTGCAACATCTGCACCTCCTCCGTCTTCGAGTTCTCGTTCTCCTTCTCGACCTCGTCCGACTCTGCCGAGACAAGCGCCGTTGCATCCTCCAGTTGACGACGCAGCTCGTCCACTTCATCGGCATGCGATTGCACAAGACGTTCGTGTTCCAACGTCAGACTTTCCAGCTGCCTCTGCAACATCTGCACCTCCTCCGTCTTCGAGTTCTCGTTCTCCTTCTCGACCTCGTCCGACTCTGCCGAGACAAGCGCCGTTGCATCCTCCAGTTGACGACGCAGCTCGTCCACTTCATCGGCATGCGATTGCACAAGACGTTCGTGTTCCAACGTCAGACTTTCCAGCTGCCTCTGCAACATCTGCACCTCCTCCGTCTTCGAGTTCTCGTTCTCCTTCTCGACCTCGTCCGACTCTGCCGAGACAAGCGCCGTTGCATCCTCCAGTTGACGACGCAGCTCGTCCACTTCATCGGCATGCGATTGCACAAGACGTTCGTGTTCCAACGTCAGACTTTCCAGCTGCCTCTGCAACATCTGCACCTCCTCCGTCTTCGAGTTCTCGTTCTCCTTCTCGACCTCGTCCGACTCTGCTGAGACAAGCGCCGTTGCATCCTCCAGTTGACGACGCAGCTCGTCCACTTCATCGGCATGCGATTGCACAAGACGTTCGTGTTCCAACGTCAGACTTTCCAGCTGCCTCTGCAACATCTGCACCTCCTCCGTCTTCGAGTTCTCGTTCTCCTTCTCGACCTCGTCCGACTCTGCCGAGACAAGCGCCGTTGCATCCTCCAGTTGACGACGCAGCTCGTCCACTTCATCGGCATGCGATTGCACAAGACGTTCGTGTTCCAACGTCAGACTTTCCAGCTGCCTCTGCAACATCTGCACCTCCTCCGTCTTCGAGTTCTCGTTCTCCTTCTCGACCTCGTCCGACTCTGCCGAGACAAGCGCCGTTGCATCCTCCAGTTGACGACGCAGCTCGTCCACTTCATCGGCATGCGATTGCACAAGACGTTCGTGTTCCAACGTCAGACTTTCCAGCTGCCTCTGCAACATCTGCACCTCCTCCGTCTTCGAGTTCTCGTTCTCCTTCTCGACCTCGTCCGACTCTGCCGAGACAAGCGCCGTTGCATCCTCCAGTTGACGACGCAGCTCGTCCACTTCATCGGCATGCGATTGCACAAGACGTTCGTGTTCCAACGTCAGACTTTCCAGCTGCCTCTGCAACATCTGCACCTCCTCCGTCTTCGAGTTCTCGTTCTCCTTCTCGACCTCGTCCGACTCTGCCGAGACAAGCGCCGTTGCATCCTCCAGTTGACGACGCAGCTCGTCCACTTCATCGGCATGCGATTGCACAAGACGTTCGTGTTCCAACGTCAGACTTTCCAGCTGCCTCTGCAACATCTGCACCTCCTCCGTCTTCGAGTTCTCGATCTCCTTCTCGACCTCGTCCGACTCTGCTGAGACAAGCGCCGTTGCATCCTCCAGTTGACGACGCAGCTCGTCCACTTCATCGGCATGCGATTGCACAAGACGTTCGTGTTCCAACGTCAGACTTTCCAGCTGCCTCTGCAACATCTGCACCTCCTCCGTCTTCGAGTTCTCGTTCTCCTTCTCGACCTCGTCCGACTCTGCCGAGACAAGCGCCGTTGCATCCTCCAGTTGACGACGCAGCTCGTCCACTTCATCGGCATGCGATTGCACAAGACGTTCGTGTTCCAACGTCAGACTTTCCAGCTGCCTCTGCAACATCTGCACCTCCTCCGTCTTCGAGTTCTCGTTCTCCTTCTCGACCTCGTCCGACTCTGCCGAGACAAGCGCCGTTGCATCCTCCAGTTGACGACGCAGCTCGTCCACTTCATCGGCATGCGATTGCACAAGACGTTCGTGTTCCAACGTCAGACTTTCCAGCTGCCTCTGCAACATCTGCACCTCCTCCGTCTTCGAGTTCTCGTTCTCCTTCTCGACCTCGTCCGACTCTGCCGAGACAAGCGCCGTTGCATCCTCCAGTTGACGACGCAGCTCGTCCACTTCATCGGCATGCGATTGCACAAGACGTTCGTGTTCCAACGTCAGACTTTCCAGCTGCCTCTGCAACATCTGCACCTCCTCCGTCTTCGAGTTCTCGTTCTCCTTCTCGACCTCGTCCGACTCTGCCGAGACAAGCGCCGTTGCATCCTCCAGTTGACGACGCAGCTCGTCCACTTCATCGGCATGCGATTGCACAAGACGTTCGTGTTCCAACGTCAGACTTTCCAGCTGCCTCTGCAACATCTGCACCTCCTCCGTCTTCGAGTTCTCGTTCTCCTTCTCGACCTCGTCCGACTCTGCCGAGACAAGCGCCGTTGCATCCTCCAGTTGACGACGCAGCTCGTCCACTTCATCGGCATGCGATTGCACAAGACGTTCGTGTTCCAACGTCAGACTTTCCAGCTGCCTCTGCAACATCTGCACCTCCTCCGTCTTCGAGTTCTCGTTCTCCTTCTCGACCTCGTCCGACTCTGCCGAGACAAGCGCCGTTGCATCCTCCAGTTGACGACGCAGCTCGTCCACTTCATCGGCATGCGATTGCACAAGACGTTCGTGTTCCAACGTCAGACTTTCCAGCTGCCTCTGCAACATCTGCACCTCCTCCGTCTTCGAGTTCTCGTTCTCCTTCTCGACCTCGTCCGACTCTGCCGAGACAAGCGCCGTTGCATCCTCCAGTTGACGACGCAGCTCGTCCACTTCATCGGCATGCGATTGCACAAGACGTTCGTGTTCCAACGTCAGACTTTCCAGCTGCCTCTGCAACATCTGCACCTCCTCCGTCTTCGAGTTCTCGTTCTCCTTCTCGACCTCGTCCGACTCTGCCGAGACAAGCGCCGTTGCATCCTCCAGTTGACGACGCAGCTCGTCCACTTCATCGGCATGCGATTGCACAAGACGTTCGTGTTCCAACGTCAGACTTTCCAGCTGCCTCTGCAACATCTGCACCTCCTCCGTCTTCGAGTTCTCGTTCTCCTTCTCGACCTCGTCCGACTCTGCCGAGACAAGCGCCGTTGCATCCTCCAGTTGACGACGCAGCTCGTCCACTTCATCGGCATGCGATTGCACAAGACGTTCGTGTTCCAACGTCAGACTTTCCAGCTGCCTCTGCAACATCTGCACCTCCTCCGTCTTCGAGTTCTCGTTCTCCTTCTCGACCTCGTCCGACTCTGCCGAGACAAGCGCCGTTGCATCCTCCAGTTGACGACGCAGCTCGTCCACTTCATCGGCATGCGATTGCACAAGACGTTCGTGTTCCAACGTCAGACTTTCCAGCTGCCTCTGCAACATCTGCACCTCCTCCGTCTTCGAGTTCTCGTTCTCCTTCTCGACCTCGTCCGACTCTGCCGAGACAAGCGCCGTTGCATCCTCCAGTTGACGACGCAGCTCGTCCACTTCATCGGCATGCGATTGCACAAGACGTTCGTGTTCCAACGTCAGACTTTCCAGCTGCCTCTGCAACATCTGCACCTCCTCCGTCTTCGAGTTCTCGTTCTCCTTCTCGACCTCGTCCGACTCTGCTGAGACAAGCGCCGTTGCATCCTCCAGTTGACGACGCAGCTCGTCCACTTCATCGGCATGCGATTGCACAAGACGTTCGTGTTCCAACGTCAGACTTTCCAGCTGCCTCTGCAACATCTGCACCTCCTCCGTCTTCGAGTTCTCGTTCTCCTTCTCGACCTCGTCCGACGCTGCCGAGACAAGCGCCGTTGCATCCTCCAGTTGACGACGCAGCTCGTCCACTTCATCGGCATGCGATTGCACAAGACGTTCGTGTTCCAACGTCAGACTTTCCAGCTGCCTCTGCAACATCTGCACCTCCTCCGTCTTCGAGTTCTCGTTCTCCTTCTCGACCTCGTCCGACTCTGCCGAGACAAGCGCCGTTGCATCCTCCAGTTGACGACGCAGCTCGTCCACTTCATCGGCATGCGATTGCACAAGACGTTCGTGTTCCAACGTCAGACTTTCCAGCTGCCTCTGCAACATCTGCACCTCCTCCGTCTTCGAGTTCTCGTTCTCCTTCTCGACCTCGTCCGACTCTGCCGAGACAAGCGCCGTTGCATCCTCCAGTTGACGACGCAGCTCGTCCACTTCATCGGCATGCGATTGCACAAGACGTTCGTGTTCCAACGTCAGACTTTCCAGCTGCCTCTGCAACATCTGCACCTCCTCCGTCTTCGAGTTCTCGTTCTCCTTCTCGACCTCGTCCGACTCTGCTGAGACAAGCGCCGTTGCATCCTCCAGTTGACGACGCAGCTCGTCCACTTCATCGGCATGCGATTGCACAAGACGTTCGTGTTCCAACGTCAGACTTTCCAGCTGCCTCTGCAACATCTGCACCTCCTCCGTCTTCGAGTTCTCGTTCTCCTTCTCGACCTCGTCCGACGCTGCCGAGACAAGCGCCGTTGCATCCTCCAATTGACGACGCAGCTCGTCCACTTCATCGGCATGCGATTGCACAAGACGTTCGTGTTCCAACGTCAGACTTTCCAGCTGCCTCTGCAACATCTGCACCTCCTCCGTCTCCATTCTCTCAGCCTCATCGTCTCGACCAGTGACCCTATCCATCGCTTGCATTAGTTGCTCCTGCAACTCGTCGACCTCTGCCCGATGGACTCTCTCCAGTCGCTCTTTCTCGGCCGCGACACTCGCCATCTCCACACTCAACGCCTCCACCTCCTCGGCCTGCGCTGCTGCACGTTGTTTTAGGCTCTGAATCTCCGCGTCGCTCTCCCGCACGAGCTGCTCCATCGCTCGACACGCGTCGTGCTGCTGTTCCAGCAACTGCGCGTCTTCGTCCCGTCTGCTCACGTGGCGCGCCTTCAGCTGCTCCATCGCACGCTCCAGCGCTTTCAGCGCGTCGCACTTGTGCTGCAGCGCCGTCTGTCCCTCTTCAATTTCTTGTCGGGCATCGGCTACGGCCCGTCGCAGCGTCTCCGCTTCTTGCGCCGCCGCTTGCAGTGCTTCAATCGCTGTCTGCAGGTCGTCAACGCTCCGACTATCTCCGATTAACCCACTGGTCGTGACCACGAGTTGAAGTTGCACCATCTGTTGCACGTGTTGCAGCAAGTGCGCGGGCGCAAGGGCGCCCTGTCTGTCGTCGTGCTCGTTGCACGGACCGTCTCGACGGCAACGTTGCACTTGTCGCACGATCCCGTCAAGTTGCTCCCAGCGCCCGTGTAACCCAAACACCAGCTGTTGCAGCTCGCGCAACACGAGACGGCCTTTTTCTACCGCCGCAGCGGATTGCACCAGACCCGTTGCTGCGGCGTCGTTGCCTTTGCGCGTCATGTCGTCGGCCTTTTTCTTCAACATGGTCTCGACTCTTGCCAGTCGAGCGACCGACTCGTCTACCGATGACGCGACGTCGTCATCCGCATTGAGGCCTTCCATTTCGTCGTCGCCTTCGGCTCGACGGCGCGCGAGGAGGTGGCGCTGCTCGGCAATGAGCGCCAGCGCCTGCCGCAGGTCCGACACCGACGCAGTGAGCGCGCGCGCCGCATTGTCGTTCCCTTTGCGCTGTGCTTCCTGCGCTTTTTGCTGCAGTTTCTCCGCCACGAGGTGCACGCGGGCGCTGACGTCGGCGGCGGCCGCGGTCATGGGGACGCTAGCGCCACAAAACACAAGAGTGCCACGAACCGGGCGGATCGGGGCGCGATGGACGGGCTGGTAACAGATTGGCTGGGCGATCGACCACCGAATGGTGTGGTGGACGTAACAATGCCACACCGACAGGGCGGATGCGGTGCATTTTTACGTACGCGGTACACCATCAAAAAGGAACCGCCGGCACGGACGAGACCGACCGACGCGGGACGACAAATTAGTTCGTACCGTACTTGTGCGTTGATTAAGTCCACCGATTGACTCGTTTGATTCAGCGCGAAGGCGCGCTACGTGGGTCGCGCACCGCGTCATTTTCTGTTTATTTCGCAAAACAATTCGATGTCCTGAATGAAACATCGGGGCGTCGAGTCACACGCACATGCACTCGACGTATCGTTAGTAGCTCACAACCGCCTACAACATGACGTTCGGACAGGTCCAGTAGCATCCGCACAGTAGCTGGTTGTCCACGAAAACACGAAAACAGTGCGTGTTTCGTCGTGCATAACTGCGTCGGTAACTGTTGTTACAAGTGTAGGCAGCGAGTGAGTGGACCAGCCTGTCAGGACTTGTGCTGTAGAGAGCGAAGGCCCTTTCCCTGCCACACACACAAAAACGCCGATAAATAAGACCCGCTGACTTGTGGGTTACAGCTTCGACTGACGACGCGCTGACGACAATCGGCTCTCGGTCAGAACGAGGAGGAAAGACCGGCCATAGAGCGGCCGCTCTGCAGCGCCATTGGCAGACAGCCAGACAGACTGACAGACTGACAGATAGACAGGCAGACAGACCGTACGTCGCAGCAATAGCAATAGTGGTCCCCCATCAGACCGCAAAGTAGTCACACGAGGCGTTTGTAGCCCGAGTCTATCCCCCCCCTTGGACGAAGCAACAGCAAAAAAAGAGCCACCAAGAAGCTCTCGTCGCGACCAGGCGGCCAGCACGTCGTGCATAACAAACAAAACACGACACGATCACCACAAAGAAAAAAACAAACCACAATAAAAACCCAACCAAACCAAACCGACAAATATAAAAACTATCGAATGCACAAAACGCACGACAACCCCACAACCGAAGAACCAAAAACAAACCAAAAACCAAAAAAAACACTGCACCAAACCAACAAACCAACACACAAACAAAGCAACGATTAAACACAAACCGACAGTCGCAGCAAACCCCAAAAGAGCAGTTAAGAGAGTCAGGCGTCGCAGCTGCTGAGGTGTGCCCAACAACCACAACAACCACAACAACAACAACCGCAACAACCACAACAACAACAACAACCACCAACAGCTACGAACAGGAGAGAGGAGGGAGAGACGCGGCGGCCGTTTACAACACTCGACCCACTGCATTGAACCGCATTAAACCGCACCAAGAGCATTAACCACCTGATTGCTTCATTCCTTGAATTAAACAGCCCCACTATTATGGACGATGGCGACTTCCTCCACGCCATCAACGGCGACTGGGACGCCATGTTGTCGCTCTTGCGGGCCGCCCGCCACGTCGCCCAGCGCACGGACGCCAGCGGTATGACGATCCTCCACTGGGTCTGTCTCCATCAAGACGCGCCCACGGACGTTGTGGTGCAAGTGCTGTTTGCGAACCCGTACGCTGTGCACGTGCGGAACGACGCGGGCCATTTGCCAATGGACTTAGCGGTGCAGGCCGAGTGCAGCGACCGGACGCTCGAAGTGTTGCGGGCGGCGGCCAATGGCAGTCGACGGCCGAAAGACGACGACGACGACGACGACGACAGTATAACGGCTACTGCTATGACTAAACGGGAGTATCGCTATCGTCCCGCCGTGCGGTCGAGCAAAGCCGAGCGAACCGACGACGTCCATCGGGGTACGATCGAGTACCCCGACGTCCACAGGGGTACGATTGAGTACCCCCTGTCGTTCGGGCACCACCAGCAGCTCCACGATGACGACGATGGGGACGACGATGATAGTCGAAGGGGTTCGGAGTATCAGCCGCATCAGAATCAGACGTACTTTGGTGAACACGATGATGACGATGAGGAGGATGTGGAGGAAGAAGATGAAGATGAACGGGCGTACCAGCAACGGCACTGTCGCTATCAGTCACGACCGGTGCAGCAGCAGCAGCAGCAGTCGCTTTTGCGCAAAGGTCGACGACTCGAACGCAGTGTCTCGGACCACGAACCGCTGCTGTTTGAGCCAGTGCCGGCGCCGTACCATAGCACGAGCATGTACGGCGGCTTCGTGTTCGATACGGACCGCGCGCGGGGGTACACGCTGTCCCAGAGCGATCCCCACGTCAAGTCGTTGCTGACGGAGCAGCGCCTGCGCGAGCGCGAGAACGATTTGATTTCCATTGCCACGGCCGAAGACGCTGTGCCACTGGGGCTGTTTGACCCGTCGAAGCGCAAAGGACCGCCCGAGACGACGCTGTTGTCGACGTTTCTCGTCCAGGACGACGCGACGGCGACTCGCGGCACGGGCAATATAAGCTCACGGAGTCTAGGAGCAGGTCCGCGCAGCAAGATGGCGTTCCCGCCGCGATGGAAGCAGTCGCGCATGTGCCACGTCTGTGCCTGTGGCTTCAGTCTCGTCAAGCGGCGCCACCATTGCCGGAATTGCGGCCAGAGCGTGTGCAGCCAGCACTCGATCAACCGCGTGTCGCTGCCCAAGTTTGCGCTCTCGGAGCCCCAGCGCGTGTGCGACCAGTGCTTCTTGAGCGGCCACCACATTATGGGCTCGGACCAAACGGGGACGCCGTCGATCGCAGGGTCCCATCAGTCGTTGCCGGCGCAGCTGCAGCGAGAGGAGCTGCAGCACGCGTTCCACGCGTCGCAACCGTATCAGATGCGCAACTCGGGTCGATAGATGACTGCGGTAGACACGTTGTGCTGGTTTCTGTGCATCTCTCGCCATTGTTTAAAAGTGGTCGAGATGGCGCAGGTCGTCGTGGTGGGTGATGGTTATGGTTGCCGTGGTCTAGTGTAGCCATGTGGACTGAACCCATGTTTGCACTACCCACGGATCGGCTCTTTTTTCCATACATTGTGTAAGGTGTTTTCTTTTTTTATTACTTGCGACAGTGTCACGTGGGACTTGGGGAGGTTCTGTATACATACGGCCTTTGTGTGGAGCATGACACTGCAACAGAGGCAGCGAGACTCGACGTGCTGGCAGGCCAAGGCCATGTACGACCAGTGCTTTGATACGTGGTACACGCAAGTGTTTTTGCAGCGCAAGGCGCACGGCAGGATGGGGTGCGAGAAGGAGTACGAGGCGTATACGCAGTGTGTCATGGTGCGTGGGTGTGTATGTATGTATACTCGCGTGTATAGTACCCGCACGGGCGTTGTCTCGGTGGTTGTCGTCGGTTTCGTGTCGACTGACTCGATGGGGTGGGGCTGTTGCGTACTTAGCGCGAACTTAACAGTAACAAACCACTTGTCGAGAGCATCAAGTCGGTCATGCAGCCCGAAGTGAAACAGCGTTTCGAGACGCAGACGGCTGCGTCTCGACAACAAGACGAGTAAAAAAGCAGTAAACTGAGTGAGGGACTGACTGATTGATTGGGAGACACATTGAAAGGCAATTGATCGGTCGATTGCGTTGCTCGGTATGTTGTGTATAAATTTGAGATTATCAGTGGTAGCATTGGACACAATACCGCTAGAAGTGCACACGTGGTCGTTCTTTCGTACGTCTGTTAGCTTTAGCCTCACTTGCAACTGACTTTGCTGAACGCGTTGAGCTTCGACGTGATAAAGCGTCAGCTGCTTAGTCGCTCGCGTGCACGATGCACTTCCATTGCAATATATGATAGAAAAGGTGCTACTCCACTAGACTGCATCGCTACGTAGTGCTGTCTGCAGGTTCGTCGTATCTCGGCCAACAATAATAGTGATCAGAATGCGGCCGAGGAGCTACAATCGCTCACTTTTTTGATCGAGTGCCTAACGCAGAAACAAGTTGTTCAGGCTTTTGTTTGGGGTTGTACCGTCGATGAAGTAGGCAATTGTGTACGGTCAAGTACATCATGTCCCATCGCAACGACCTTATTCATGGGCTCAATTGAGATTCAATCACTTTTTCATCTTACAGCGCCTTGTAATGAACTGGGACTGTCATGTCGATATCGCCACGATATCGCCAAGAAGACAGCCGCCGAGGAAGGACATGATGGGCGTGACAAGGAGTAACAATGTACACTGTGCATTGATCTACCACTCAGGTGCATTGCCGGTTCGCATCTCTGTAGCAGTCGCTACGACTTGTAGCAAAAGCGGTCTGATGCAGTCAATAGGCCAGTTGCCGTCGACTAGTCGGTAGCAGCAATCTCGAGGCTTTTCTTACTGGCACGAGGTCTTAAACATAGTGTAGTCGCTGAAATGCTAACGAGATGAGGTGTCGATGAGGTATGACAAAACAGTGCGCTGTGACCGTCAGTCCGTTCCTATCGCTCAGGTAGTGGGTCGCATCCTGATTGCCATGTTCTCGAGCTCGTCGGGTCATGAGGTTTTTGTATCCCCCTCCCAATCTTGCAATGCCACTACGAGCTCATTGTTTGCACGAAAGCTTGGCATTATTTTTGAGCTCGCTGATCGTTTGTTCATTTGAGATGCACTTCTCGGAACCGAATGTGCTGCAGGTTGGTCTACTGAGACGATTGGCTGTTTCGAGTCGAACGGATTACATGCAGATGTGTGGGAAAACAGACAGGACACGACAACGACAAGAGACACGTACTTTATCGTTTACTCTCTTGCTCGTCACGCTGTCGCTTTGATCGAAAGTGCGCAGACGCACGATGATAGACATACAGTGTTTTGAATGGTCTTGACTCGCATGCAGCAGATTTGTGTCAGGAGGCTCCGAAAAATCGCTCACCCGTTCTGAAGACTGAGAGGATTCGTACGTCATGACCCGTTACGTCTTCGCTAGCTGTCGATGGCGTGGAAAAGGGCAGTCGAACTAAAGAGGGCGGAGTGATCATCGATCGACGACAGAGCATTTGCTCTACGACGGGTCGCATGATAGTCTCTCCGCAGTTGCTAACTCCGACCAGTCTCCTCGCTTTGATACGAAGGTGCCTCTTGAGGTTGACAAGACTTCCCACTTTGATACGCAGATGTACTCTATGCGATAGTGCACATTGCACCATCCGAATAATGATTCTGGTCATTTGCTTTCTGGGCTTATCGTGTGCACATGTATACACACCATGAGCCCCGAGAGCACTTACGCCCCTAGTTGTAAGCGATATAATTGATACATGACACAACAGGATTCGTGCGGTCAGCACCTCTACCCGGCGTATAACCTCCGTATCTTCTTCACTATAAGCACAAGCAACGATGCGTCCCGTCATCGATCGGTTCGAATCTAATCTCATTGCGACGATGCTGGAATGACCAATCGACATATATTGTGGCATGTACCACGCCGCGCATGTCGACATGACCCCTACGGCTCCTTGCGTTCTAGGGTAGGCAATGACGAAACGTGATACCTTATGGTCAATCGGTACAAATTTGGTGGTAGCATATATATGAACCTAAAGTTTGTAGCGAAATGATTCAGTAAACATCACGATTTTTCATCGGTGTGAAGACTGTTGTGCAAAAACGCCTCGGCGTGCTGTTTCAAATAAGTTTTGTGTAGCTCAGCCGGTCTGGTATGGCGTATAATCTAAACACCACTGTTCCCATTTCGAAAGAGGAGTCCAGGTGAAAATCTTATACTCTCAACTCCTGGTGGGTGGGGCTCATCATCACAGCCGCGCCGGGCAGTAACGTTCCCCACGTTTAGGTGTTTAGTAACGCACGACCAGAATATAAAACGTACGACTGCACAAACAGTAATTCGCAACTAGACGATTCGCAATGCGCGATGTGGCGATCACTAACGTGTAGGCATACAATGTAGTAGGCATAGAGTAGCAATAGGAGTCGTGAACCCAGGGCCTAGATATATTCACTTTGCATCTTGCCAAACCAGTACCCTCATCTTTTGTATCTAAAAGACGAGCGTCCTCTTGACTGATCATGATAATAGAGGGATTGTGGACAGGCCGCTGGAAAGAATGAAGATCGAGCATCATGCTATCGCGAGGAGAACTACCTTTCTTACAATGAAATATTTGCATCGCCAATCGTATCATTTTTGCAAACGGTTCTTTCTTCAGATTAAGCGCAGCTAGCAAGGATGATGGCTTGTGGAACGCGTATATAGCCAATGATGCTATATCTCACTAAAGACAGCAATCTTGACGCATCGATGACGACAACATATTCAAGTAGTAGCGGTACAGCTAATTTAGCAAGCGTGTTTTATTTATTAGAAACTATTAGGAAGAAGTAGAGCTACCGGCTATGTGCATACTTGGTATAAGGAAGAAGAGGGATATACGAGAATGCCGAAGCGCACAAGGCATTGATGCGCGTAACAAACAAAGAATGTTGCAAAGTCAAGGCCTTGTCTTCAGTATCCCATACCCTCGGCAGGTCAACCGCAGAAACTAATAAGTGACAGAGTACGCGTCTGATCCAAATCTACACTATTACGCGAAGAAATGATTCAGACAGTGCCAGCAAAAAATCTCTCCGACATGTTCCAAACGAAAGTCTGTGGAAGATGTTGATTGCATAAAAACACTCGCCTGGCTTCAACGATATCGAGTTTGTAAACTCATATAGACGCCTGATACAGATCTCGCCTAACTCTCGCTGATATGATGTACTTACTCAGATTCATGCTCGACTCGATAACGATTATAAGCTCGCATAACCGCAGACGATTTGACAAATGTGACCTACGCAAAATTGTGATTCGTGCAAAACCACTTCTGTTGCAACTTTTTGAGCGGATGACTACCGGAAAAGTCCGAGTCAGTTTGAAATATCGCTAGGCATTGATGCTAAGAACTGATTGAATGCGTAAGTGATAATCTTTCAACTCTATAAATCGTCTTCAACGGAAAGCTATGGCGTGTCAAACTGCGCGTATTATGTTACACAAAAGCGAGGTATCATTGATTTTAAACCACGAAGCATTTGCAATCGAGTGGATGTCAGTGTATACATACTCTATTTCTGACGTTCCACGTCTGTCTGATTGCATTCGACGGTCATATTGCTATGACTCAGTGGATTTTGGAGCAACGTCCGATACGTATTTACACGTCCCTTCCGGCATCGAAGCACCTTATTTGTTGTGAGTGCATATGCTAGCCGCAAGGTCGTTCCAAGTACGTACACCAGGTGGCTGGCTTCTGTCAACCTCTCAGTCCTTATAGAGGTAAAAGAAACTATAATGCGAAGTCAAACTTACATGCGTGCTATAGGCTGATCTATAAAGTTGTAAAATCACGAAGAAGTAATAGATTCATCTGAGCTAAAACGTTTACAAGGCTGGTAGATGACCTTGATTATTTAGCGCTTCGGGCCGTTTACTCAGGGACTTATTTTGACACTTCGAGCGCGTGGCATTTATGAAGCGTTAGCGTCTAGTCAAATTGAACAAGCGTACTCTATGATCTCCTAACTGGTCATTTAAAAGGAAGTAACTTTCCGAGCCTTAACGTCTTTCTAATTCATAAAATCTAACGTAACTTCACAGCAGTTACCGTTTGCGTCGATCGCGATTACAATATAACGCTAAGCTGCAAAGTTCTTATGCTCATCTTTTTTTGATAGAAGAGCCGATTGCCAATAATCATCTCGCACTTCAGAAGTAGACGCAATTTCGATTAGTTAGGTTATATCGAGGCCAAACCTGTATCGACTGATTTTAGAGGATTCGGCACTGGTTATAAGATGTATCAATAAGCGTTGACATTTACCCTCTAATATCGAACAAAACCTTTGGAGAATCGATTTTTATTCTGGCTATGCTTAACGCACATGCTTCTTGCAGAACCCAAATCACATTTTGAAGAAGCTATATTTAGTCTTTTTATAGGGAGCTCGAGAGATGATGCATCAACCTGTAAGATCTTGTTTGTGATACTCGTTATCGTCCTCATTGACATTCTTCATCCTGGCTATCGAGCTCAAAAGCTTTACGAAAAAAAAACAAGGAGCAGGTCACGCAAAACGACGCGCACGCGCTATTAGTTACCTAAGAACTTTTGATTGCGACATGCTGGCATGGAAGACGCATCCTGTCCATATCTCGCTTGTTGTGCGCATTGATTCCATCGCTTCACACTTCGACACTCAAGAGGCTTGATATGGTTACTTGGCAGCAGTCAAAACTGTCGACGAGTGCAGGAATAGCATGGATTCTGTAGTAATGCCCACGGGTAGATTTTGAACGACAGAATCATTTTGTCTTTATTGGAAGGTCAGGAAGTGACAAGACAAAGTCATTTTGGGGGGTGCGTCTGTGTCGATTAGCTGTACGAGTGTGGTATGTCTCGAGATCAACTTTATTGCACACTAGACAAGTAGTTGCAGCTAGCAAGCTCATGAGCATTTACACGTAGTCCAAGAATAGATATAATACTGATAGCGAAAATAATGAGATGCAGTCG